ATGAAACTTGTGTACCCACGGCTGTTGCCACATGCTCACCAGCAGAGCTTAATGTATTCCGGCAGGTATCTTACCTGAGACTGTGCGTGGTTGCCCGAGGCGACCCCAAGCTTGCTCCACCGTGGTGAAATCCTAACGTTAACATTAATGACTCAACTTGTGTGAAAAAAAAAGGTATTGCATTCTGCAGAGCAATATGGCCACACGGGCTAAGCAAAAACTCCGGAGATTTCGTGCGCATGGTTGCCCGACGCGACCCCAGCTTTGCTCCACTGCGATGTGAAATCATGAATTGAAGTGTAGTGGCTCCAACTTGCTTCATGTTAACCCATGGTCGCACGGGCTGATGCATATTCCGGATTCTGGGCAGGTATTCCTGCGGCTGTACCTTGGCTCCCTTAAGTTGCAGTACGGCAATCTCAAAGACACAAATTCATGACCCACATTTCACATATGAAAATTTAATCAGACTCAGACATTTTGTGCTTGACGCATGCGTAGAAATAGTAGATCGTTTAACAGGGTTGTGATGTTACTGCGATTTGGCTCAAGGCGCACCGATGCCTAATGCTAGCTGGCTAAAGCAAGTGCCCAGTGATGCAGCTCTAGTGACTCCTCGGTTTGGAAATGGTCTAACTATTATTCACCGGGCACATGTGCTCAGCCGAGCTCAGACGGCGAACCGGCCATCCCTCCAGCTCATGAACTCCTCCACTGTAGGCGCATCTCGCTCAAAAAGGTCCAAGATCGTCTGCTGCTGCTGCATCGAGGCATCCAGCTCCTCCTCGATCTCCACCACCGAGTATTCCTCCCCCGAAAAGGATGGGACCTCTGTCTCCTCGTAGCCCTCCCAGGCCGAGCTGGCCAATGAAGAGCCATCCTCGAGGTCCGACGAGAAGGGCTCTTCCGCATCTCCCCCAGCCGCCTCCATAACCTTAAGAAAGCGCTCCTGCAGCGTGGGCGACTTGGCCTTCTTCCGGATCTTGTCCAGCCGCTCAGCAGCTGCCTTGTGCTTCAAGGCATTCACCGCACCCTCCAGGGCCACCTTCATCTCCGCGACACGCTTGAGCAGCTGCTTCGCCTCCATCAGCGCCACAGAGCCCTTAGGCGCCTTGAGCGACGCCTTCGCCACCACCTTCGCCTTGGGCGCCACCTTCGCCTTAGGCGGCACCTTTGCCCTCGGCGGCGCCTTTGCCTTCGGCGGCACCTTCACCTTAGGCGGCACCGCCGGCGCCTTCACCTTAGGCACCACCATCTTCTCCACCGCTGTCTTCGCCGCAGGCAGCACCGGCACCGCCTTCACCGGCACCATCTCCGACACCTCCGCCTCTGCCGGCACCGGCGCAGCCTTCACGACCTCCGGGATGTTCTTCTCTGCTGCCTCCGCCTTTGCCGACACCAGCGTAGCCTTCACCACCGGTACCTCCGGGCGGTTCTGCTCCGCGGCCTGCTGCATCATCCTTGCAACTGCCAGGCTCTTCATGAAGATCGCGGGCAGCACCTGCTTATTTCTTGGCGGCACCACCACGCCTTTCGGCTTCGGAGGTGGCGTCATACACACCATCGGCGGCCGAGCCTTCTTCTGTGGAGGCGGCCGAGCCTTCTTCAGCAGCTGTGGAGGCGGCCGAGCCTTCTTCGCCGGAGGTGGCGGCGATGCAATCGGCGGCTGCGTCTTCCTCTTCGGCGGTGTTGTTGGTGCCGATCCAGCCATTGCAAGGACCAGAAGCCGGCCAGAAGCTAGGCTGATCCAAAATCTATCATGACTCACGTCCTCGATGATTGGCCAAACACAGTACCAAATTGTGTTTGCCAGTTAGCGCTAACTGCAGTCTTCCCCTCCAAAGTCATGAACTAGCTAACTAACTAGTAAGATATGAATTCAATCGATCTGAAAGAACAAAATCCACTTAACTTTTAGGGTGCCAATGATCAGTTTTCCAAGGTTCTCTTCTAGGGTCTTGCACACATGCCAATATATATATATATATGTATATTAGTGGTTCCACAAGAAAGGCTGTCTAAAGCTCAGCTCACTACATGCCTAAAGTCAAATGGCAGGCAGGTCTCTGTATTTCGGAAAACCCACGGTTGAACTAAGTTCACTAGAATTTGGGTTTTGGTATAAAGCTTTAGGGTTCGCAAATTAGCTGCCCTGAATGTTCAACTGTTCCCTGCTGGAGTTGCACTTGTGGCATAAATAGACTTAAGCGTCCAAGGGATCCATGAGTCGTGTGGAGAGCCTACCAACAAATTAACGCTGAATGAAGATGCACTACGCAATATCGGTTGGCTGGCTAATAAACAAAATGAGAGACAACCCCACGCACCTCCAAACTTAACTCTGGCTCCCTCCAACTAGTCCAAGCTCATTGAACAACCTCTTAAGGCCTATGTTTAACGGGGGGTTCCGCGTGCCTCCCCTAATCCCACACACCGCTCGACAGGACAGGCCTCCTTTCCCAAAGCAGCGCTGGCAGCAGCAGGCTCTGGCAGTTTGGCCTCGCAAGGCGCGATCCATTTATCTATTTATAGAAACCTGACCTCTGACCACGATCCCCCTTCATGATGGACCCTGTGGGGGCTTACGCTCACATGATGGACCACTTAAGGGCTAGGCTCATTGAAAAAGCTTTTGAGGCACGGGGGACATACTAGTACTGCCCGTTGGCTCTGAGCTATGTATGTATATATATATATATATATATATATCAAGCGTGTGTTCAACAGTTCATGGAATATATGTTCATATCCGTGTGTTCAACAGTTCATGGAATATATGTTCATATACCCCGCTATATATATATATATATATTCGACCTAACAATCACCAGAATCTAATTATATATATATAATATTATAAATGTCCACATGATCCCTGTAGCCCAAGCTCTTCGAAACGATATCTGCCTTGTCGACCGTGTCACCCACCAGTGCCTGGCACGGCAGGAGTGGAAAAGTGCGACAGGGTATATGCGCTGCCTGAACCTCGGAGTGCTCCGTGCTAGAGCTGTCTGCCTACGGGCGAGTCAGAAGCTGTTAAGGAGAATCTAGAGCTTAAGCCTGGCCTGGTTGTCATCAGCCGATTGCTGCAACCGCTGAAGCCCCGTATGAAGATCAATGTCAGCACCGCTGATAGCTTTGAAGATGCACTGCTTCAAGGTGTGCACTTTGGGATTCCTGATCCAACAAACAAAATAGAGAAAAGCCCATCAAGCTAGCACAGTATTGCACACGTGCATGTAGCCTTGATCACACAAGGTCCTTGAATTGGTCTGGTTCACTAGTTGTTTCAATATTAATATGATCGACTGTATAATACATATATATATATATGTTTCAAGGTGCCCTGTAGGATCAGGTGTTAAAGAGTGGTGGGTCAACCACGGTGCCTGCTAGTGGGTGACCGGATCGCCAAGGCTATCCCGTGTTGGCCCAGCATTCGGGCGCACCCGCCTTGCCAGCCGGCCCACTCCTCAGCCGGGTGCGAGCGGTTCAGCCAATCGTGGATGAGGGATGGAGGCGGTCCTTTATTTGCTTTTTGGTGGTCTGTGCCGGGAAAAAACCGTAGGTCACCGCTATGGTGTACAGCGCTTCCTGCAGTGTGGGCATGCAAATATCGAGATATATTATATCGCTGTTTTGTGCAAGAAATCACACCGGACCTTGAAATCTGAGTACCGTGGCAGCGAACAGTCTCCAGCAAACAGCGCGTACAGGTTCATGAGAAAGCCAAAGTTAGCTTCCAAAGACTCGACAGCCTCCGGCGAGCCAATCACTTGGAATATCGCCTTCACCTGCCAACGGCATAGCATCGACTTTAAAGACACACATTTAGCAACATGCCCGGGAACTTCAATTTAGCAACACACACACACACACACCGTCCTTTGAATCACGCAGCTTCTTGATGCGATCCGGGTCATCGCATATACCTTGCACAAACAGATCCTGGCGATTTGTCGCTATCGGCTAAATGCGGGGTGGATGCAATGGCCTTCAACAGCTCGAACTCCATGGTCCGACCACTCGGCATCCTGAACAAGCGTACATGCAATGTTTGGTTATTTTAAGGTCACTTGCCTCAAAAGCCTGATGCGGCAACCTTGCCAAGGCCGATCGCGATTGAGCCACTCCAGCGCTACGGAGCCGTGAAAATCAAGCGTGCATCGATGCTGATCGCAGGAGGCGGTATTTTTTTGGGGGGTGGCTATACCGCAAGAAACACTTTAATGGCCGGTTATATATACCCCCTATGTATTCGGGGAATTTGCAATACATCAATATATCGGTCACATGCAGGGCAAGGGGTGGCGCACCTGTCTCTGTCCCCCTCTGCGAGCTCGTGCTCGGGCAGGTGGGCGCAGTCCATTGGTTGGCCCGACGCATGAGTTCGTGTGATGCACATGAACCTCTAGCTCGATGTTATATTTGCTAGATGGTTGTGGTGTTACACTTGCTGAGCCGGTTTATTTTTACCTAGTCATGTCCGTATAGTGCATACACGTGGTCTCCCATCAACATTACCTTGGGCCCACGAGCGCGAGAAAGAGCTCCAACGTTCAGGCGCCCGAATTCAAGTTCCGACAAATTTACAAGATGCATGGTTTCCGGTAATGTAGCCCCCAAAGGCCTACATGCATCCGCAGCCCGAGAAACACGACATGCGCCCGTGTGTTAATATCACCTACAAGGATCCTCAGGGATATGGTTGGGGGTCGAAACCAGTGTGCCAGCCTGGTTGAAACACATTGTTTGTGCAACTGGCTGAAAGTAAAAAGTGGCCCAACATCTGAGCCAGACTAGAGCCTTCAAAAGTTTCAATTGTACTGAATTCCCGAGCTTTTCAATTGTCCAGCACTTGATGTCTTGATTTCCCCTCAACACCAACCACAAAAGAGGGCAGGCCCTTTTTTGCAAAGCCATTGGGCAACTGATACAAGTGCAAGAAGTGAGTGTTTTCCTCCGGCCCGCGCCGTCGAGGGAGACGGCAGTCAGCTCAGGCGCAGACGCAAGGTGCGGATCAAGGGAACCAGACGGAGAAGGTCCACAAGCACAAGAAGCACAAGCACAAGAAGCACAAGAAGCAGCTCGCCGGGATTCGGTTTCGCTTGGTATGTGAGGGGGACATGTTTTGGGGCTGTGATGGGGGACATGTGTGCGTCAGTGTCAGCTCCTTGCGCTCGCTTTCGTGCCCGCAGCCCTCCCACAGCTTGGGGACAAGGGTCGGCGGCTGAGAAATTCGACCATCTGTTCGTTGCTCAGCTTGGCACACTTGCCCCATAAAATCATCGAAAGGTTTGCAGGAGGCGGAGGAAGGTCAACTGTTTGTGGGGATTTTGTTTGAATTTCGCTAGCGCCAAAACATGGTGCTAGTCTCTCCTTTGGTTGGTCACAGCGGCTTTCCATATCCTGGACTTCAGTGGCTTTTTGGATTTGGACCTTCTAGTATCAACAAGAAGTGAAAAGCACATGCACTTGGTGCATGTTAACGTTTCATTTGGACTGTGGGGCGATGAAGGCAGCACGGAGCAGAGCCTCCTGCTGGACATGCATGTGAGCTTTGACCAACCTTCCCGCCCATGCTGACAGTGTCCTTGCAATTTAAAGCGTGTTTCCTGGAATGAAGCAGCTTGCTGGCCATGGCTTGTAAAGATGATCATGCAGTGGCTCATTGTTTCCTTGGCCACCGGGGTGTCGCCGAAGGGCAAGGCGAAATCCCTGAGTGGCAACTTTGGCGCATGTTGCTTGGATGGTAGGACTTTAACTTTTTGCCAACTGATGAGTTTTCCATTAAACCACTAAGAGTTAAACTTGTAGCAGGGGAGCAGAAAGCAACCGAGTCAAGTTTGATTTTGCCCAATCCAGGGCTCCTGTGGACTTCACAGGGCCAGGATTAATTAGGCGTGACCTGCCCAGTGGCACACTTGTTCAGTCTTCTCTCTGAACAGCCGGCTCCGTTTAGAGGCAGCTAGCTACCGAGTTAGTTGCTTTCTTGTTGTGGTTCCTTTTTTCGAGTAGATGCTGATTCCTCATTCTTTTCAGCAATCGTTCTTTTTACAAACCAGACGTTTCCCCAGTATGTTTGGTGGTTTGCTAGAAAGAAGGATCTCTGGAAGGAATGGGGAAGCTCCCCCTAGAAATGCACTTTTGCATCTTGAAAGGGACATGAGTAATGCGGGTGAATTCAGCAATTCCAACCGGTTCGGCGTTTGTAACATAGCCCTCCTAAACGGATGTTTTCAGCTGATCTCCCATTAAAACTGATTTTGTTGGTGGCCTCAAGCAGACCCGTCAGGCACCACCTGCCAGAAGATGGGAAGGCGAGACGACACTGCCGGGCATGCTGCTGGCTTTTGGGTCCGCTCGAAAAATTGGGCCATACAAGCGGGTGGATTTTTGTCTTAGTTTCGTCTAAGCCAACCTTAAAGTTGTACCCTCGAATACAACACGCAATGTTAGTTCCGAGGGATTCCTTAGGTTGGTGAATTGGAGCACGTTAGGTGTAACTTGTATCGATTCGAAGACAGCAGGTGATTCACACATGCTTCACGCCTGTTTTTTCCTCCCCCCGAGTGCCTTGGGCATCTCATGTGTGATGTTTTTACATTGCTCGCCGCTGCTTCTAGTGGCGATGGGACCGATTTGTCGAGCCATGAATTGGTCTTGGATCGCGGGTCGCTTGTCGAACATGCCGGAGGGAGCCATGGGGCTTTAAGAGAGAGTCGTGTTTCTGACTTGCAGGATTTGGATGCTAAATCGCATCTATCCTGTACCTTTTTCTAAAGGAAGAACAAAAAGGATGGATGATGGATGATGGTTTATTATTCAGACTCCCTAAACTCAACACTCGGTTGTGACTTTGCACAAAGGGGCGCCTGACTTTGGTTTCTCCGGCGGCAAGGATTTGGATGCGCCACCCGAAGTGCAACAGGCCGGGGTGCGATGTAGCTAGGCTCCGAACCTTTCTCGCAACTCCTTGATTCACACGCGAGGTTTGGGGGGGAGGGGGTACTTTTTGGGATTGGACCGATCCCAATTATGTGATTTAGGTTCATTCAGGACAAAATTCACTGACCCCATCAGCAGCCTTCAGATTCAGCAGGTGTCAAAAGTTGGCTCCCCGAGGGAAGCGTTGCAATGCGGATGCGGGTGGACCGCAGAGCTAGCGGAGGTTCAACGTTTTTCCATGACCCCTTTGAACGGCTTCTCTAAACTGGGAGTCGAAATAGGTGAAACCAAAAAGAAAGAGGTTTTTCCTGCTGGTGCCCCAGTAAGCCAAACCAAGAAGGGCCCTCCCCCTCCCCTCCCCTTCCCTCCCCTCCCACACTGCCCCTGACTCCCTCACTCCAACACTCCCTCACTCACTCCCTCAACTCTTACTCTCGCTCTCTCTGTCTCTATCTTACTCTTACTCAGACTCAGACACTCTCACACTCACACACCCTTTAAATTCGCATAGTTACATATATATATATATACGTATATATATATATAGCGGAGGTTGTCTGAGCCGTGCCTCCCGAGTCACTCACTTGGCAGACACTCAGCTGGATTGTGGTGGACAATGCAGGTGCACAAACCCCCGATCCACCAAAGAGATTGACCCCACAAACATCATGGTTTGAAGACTCTTCTCACTGAATGCCATGGCATTCACCCTCCACCACGGCGCCTCGCCAAAAGTTCTGGCGCATTTGGGTCCCTTGGAAGGCTTCGAGCTGTGGAAGTTTCCCAGTTCTCGGCAGGTGAGGCAGAAGCTGAAAGAGAAGTATCAGTTCGAGGTGCGGAGTCGGGGCTTCCGGAAGCCGGAAACGGCCAGGTCAACTCCAGGCCTCTGTTTGGGTTGTTTCAAAGGGAAACTAAAGGGCATCCAGCTGCATTGTTGGCGGTCCCCTAGTTCGACGCAAAGTCCAGGGCACACTCACCTCATTGCCATTAGGACATGGGATTTGGGACCACCGTTCATGTTGACCATGGCTCAAATCACGTTTGGGCACAAGATTGAACAACTGGCTCTCATTTGAGCCACAATGAAGAGGATAAAGAGGTGAGTGCTCGCAAGGGCAGTCCCAACCATAGGGTGCCGCCCTTGGAATTCCTGCGTTGGGTTTCCCTGTTTAACCGATGCATCCAAGTTCCACAAGGCCAAGTGTTTATTTACAGGTCCTTGGCGCATTTGAACAACATTTCATCAGGAGTCCCCTTGGCATGGTCGCCACATTTCTACCCTTGAGCCGCTCGGGGTGCGGGGCGGCCTTATCAACGGTAGATCACGTTCGGAAAGGACCAGGGTCCGGCAGTTCCCGTTTGGAGGTTATATACACTGCTCGGTTGCCGGGTCAAAGTGAGTTTCCTTTTGGCGGGTGATATTTATGTTGGAATTCTTTCAGTGGAAGTGCCCCTGGGTTGTCGCAGATCTTCGGCTTCTGAGCCAAATGCTTGCAGGTGAAAAGGAAGGCGGTTCCCGAATCGCTAGAAAGCCTGTCTCGTGGGTCATCACATGGATTCGGGTGTAAGGTCTACTCCCCCTGCAAGTGACATTTGCCGGGGGCCTCTGGGGGTGAGGGGGTCATGTGGGCCACTTGGGATCACACAGCGCGGTGAGAAGTTGGGGATTGGAATGAACCGTTTGGGGGTTTCCGAAATGAAACCATAGGTTGGATGGATTGGGGTCATTCCAATTCTCGTTTTTTGCCTAACCGACAAGTTGAACATATCACTCCCGGAGCTCATGGACTTAGACTTTCATCACGTTTTGGGTTTGGTTTTTTTGTGTGGTGAATAAAAAGCCTCCTGGATTTTTGTTTGGCCAGTCCACTCAGGAAGTGAGACATTCATGAGAGTCGCAGGTGACGCCAGATGCCGGCGCACGGCCATTCCAGGCACGAGACGACGAGAGGGTGAAGGAAACTTCGGGCCCCGCTTTGGTTGTACCACGAAGCTTCCCGAGTTCCGCGTTTGTTTCGGCCAATCCACTCAGGGAGTGCGACCATGGGAGTCTGGCTCAGTGACAGCCACCTCTCTGGGTAGTTTGTTACTAAACATGGTCCACCCCGCAAATCGAGAACCCGGTTTTTCACTGGGGTTGCTGGCAATTGGGGCATGGTGTTGGCAACGAAATGTTCGACAGCTCATTTGCGAAACCAAGAGAATCCGAGTTGAAGTGATCAAGTACTCCACTGCAAAGCAACATGGAACTTCCTCACAAAGCGCGGATTCCTCCAGATGAGTTCTTTTTTTGGGATTCCATGTTGATCTGAAGGGGAGCAGGGGTGGGATTCCAAGCAATTGGCATCACAAAGCAGAACTCGAGTGTCGTTGCCATGGATCACAGGCTGCGCATCAGTGGTTGTGTCCGCTGGGTCTGGAACCCACGATTAAGAGACCCTGGTTGATCAGGGCTCCTTAAAAGAAACATTTTGCAACCATTTGAAGCATGTCGCTTTTTCCACCAAAAGTAAAAGGACACCAGCATTTACAAGTTGCACTGTTCAGGTGTTTTTCCTGTTGATCCGGATGTGTCCAGTTTTGGAGGACGGGAAACTGAGCCTGTTCTGACCGGTTTCCGAAAGCCAGGGTTCACAGCACCCCCACAAGCCGCCCTTCTCGCCTCGAATGAGGCGAGAAAAACCAGGGGTATATTTATTGTTGTTGGGAAACATTTTGCAGTTTGCTTATTGTGGTTTAGTGGTTGAAAGCCCCACTTAACTGCTGAAATTTAAATTGTCGCTCCCTTTTTAACGTCAACCAAGATTTGCGGGAGGTCGATTTGCGGCTGTACCGATCCCCCCAAAAAAAATGTTCAGAAATTCACCGAAAATCCTAAGATCCGGTCAAGGGAGGGTTTCACCTCCTATCCACCAATTCAAACCTACAAAGGGAAGCTAGATCGTGAGGAACTAGTTCCAGCTTCACAATTGAAGCCAAGTTCATTCAAAACTTATGAATCAACTAGCTGTGTCCTGAGGGAAGCTGGACGATTGGCAATCTCGAGCAAATTGCCGGAATCTGACCCTAGACACGGGTCCACTTAGTCTCGCCATGCCCAGTGGCACCTTGAACGTCAAACAACCCAAAACTTGACTCGAAATTGGGTTGGATCTTTAGACTTTAACTTTTTTGGGAGGTGTTTTCCACTAAACCCCCAAAAGTTTTCAACTTTTGGCAGGGGGGGGGTCAACAGCAACCTAGAGAAAAGGGACTTGTTTTTCTCCTGGTGGGCACTGGGCTTGGGGTTGCGACAAGTTGGTCACCTCTGTGCTTGTTGTTTCCTGGTCCCTTGAGCATCGGTCAAGAAATTCAGAAGCCCGTTTTTTTCTCTTCTTTTTTTTGGGGGGGGGTGAAGGAGGCACCCTCAAACAAATAGCAAATGGGGGGTTACTCGCTCAAGTTTCCATACCATGTGGGGGACGAAATGAGTCTTGACTGCTGCCCTGAATTCCTCAATCTGAGTGATCCGGGTTTTCCTCAAACATACGTGGCACCCTCCAATCAAAACGTTTCAGGGGCTGGTGACTCCTGATTGAAGCATTAAGCGCGAGTTTACCTTATGAAGGGTAGAACGGGCATTTGTTCTTTGCGCTGACTTCGAAGGGACGCCCTGCTAACACAAGCACATGATTTGTTTGCGTGGCATTCATTGCTTTGTATGAACCAGTTGGCTATTAAGTTGAATGGGGAACTCCTTGCAAATTGGTTGGTGGTCACAGAGCCCCGTGTAATTCAAGGGGTGTGCTCCAAAGGGTCACTAAAACCATACACTGCATCCCATGTGTTTTGTCCAGATTGAGTGACCCCCATCGGGCAATCAACAATTGGTGGCTTTGTTCTTTGAGGATCTGAACCCAGCAAAACACGGGAAGCTCCCTTCAGTGATCTCGACTTGAGCCGATTTTTGCGGGGGGGCGTTCCTTTTGTATTTGTGTGGGGTCATTGTTTGGCAGGTTTTGGAGCCCATCAAAGTCGGAAGCTGGGGGTGCCGTTTTGTCCAACCTACTACTTGAGGCTTGAGGGTGTGAATCGGACCATTGTAAAGGCATGTGGTCTGTTCCAAGCTTACCTTTGACCGGGAATCCACGGGGCAAAACCGCTTTTGGCCGAAACGATCGGACCTCTTTGAACAGCAGAGACATTCGGACGCCCTGTTCCCGGTCACAATCCTTCTGTCAGAACCCTTAGGACTCAGTCCATCAAAGTCGCCTCACAAGTTCGCCTCAAAGTGGTTTAGACAAAAACAAGTCGCCCCCAAGCGCAAGTTTGACTCGAAGTGATCCAGCTAGAACCTTGGGGGTTTGGTGTCACCTTGTCTCAGGCTGAGAGCGGCGATGCCTGAAGCTACCATGTTAGGCTGCTTAGGCCATGCCAGATTCAGAGCCAGACTCAGAGCATGACCCAGTTGCCCAGAGGTTTCATCTCATTAAAAAGAAGAAGGAAAAAACATCGAGTTCTGCCAGATCCGTAGATGTTTATACTTGACAGTGCCAACAAGTCACAACAAAACAACACAACAAGCGCTGGAATGTATGTTTGGAACTTGAATTTCCATTTGTTTAATCTGACCATCCATCGTGTTTGCCGAAGAGGCCACGCCCTTTTGCCCGGAAACCACTGGGCAATTGAGATGAGCTCAGAACCATCGGAACTCAAGATGATCTGCGCAAAAAGGAGCGGTATGGCGCTGGGGCCCTGCTCTTGGGCGTGCGAATTGGAGGGAGCCAGGGGGCAAAACCGGTTGAAACAACTGGACCGATATCCTGCCTTTCAGGTTCCGCTTAAAGCGGACCCACAAGCATAGTGTTTGAAGAACCCTGGTTTGAAGTTCTCCAAGGGTTGGCCCCCAGAGGACCTCACCCCCGTCCGCCTAGGGATTCTTGAAGAAAAACAAAAGACATACGCATGACTCTAAAGGCCAGCCCAAGACCCACAGACCCCTTGACCCTTGGGTGTTTTTGGGTTGGTCTGGGTCTTTCACACAATGGGTTTGTCTCAAACTGCGCGACAAACAAAGGCATGTTGCCGCAACACGCTTGGGTGGCACCCACTTGTTGTGTGGCGCGCTCTCCACTACAACATGTCAACCCCCGAGCAACTTGGGGCTCTTGCTGCCCTGTTTGCTGCACGCATTCTTATATTGTGGCGGGCTGACAACAACAGAAAGGAGTTGAGAAGTGCCGTTGTGCAGGTTCTCCCTCCAGAACAAGAGGCAAAATACCGGTCAAAGACTTGTGATTGTCAACTTCAATTTCCCCAGTTCTAATTATTCAAAGAGGCGATCGCCCATTTCGGTTGCTTGATTTTCTGCTCGGAGCCCCCCCCCCCCTCCCTCGCATGGCTGTAGCATTTCGAAGCCCCGACCAAGGAGCTGATCACAAAGCCTCCGAGCCCCAAAACGGAGGAGGAGAGGCAAGGCATCATGGAGGCGCAGCTCCGTCGAGATCCGCGCTGGCGCGCTCGCGCAGTGATTCGGTTTCATTGCGGTGCTCCCGTAAGTGTCCGGGGAAGAGTGCGGCTTCACGTACATAGAGTGTGGTATGTCTAGCTTTCTCATTCCATGAGTTCCCGGCATTTGTTGTGGGAGGAAGGCCATCTTAGTGGTAAAGAAACAGTTTGGACTTTCGTTTTGGCCCATGCACTCAGGAAGCGAGTTTTGAAGGCACACTTTCAATTGATCAGAGGAAAACCAGAGGGAGAGCACCAACCTTGAAGGTGTACAACAGCTCTGAATTTCTGAATTCCACTGCCAAACGCAAGAGAGGCACAAAGCCACCAACAGTTCACATGATCCGATTGAAGGATGGCTCACATCGCTTCGACCATGAAGTGATGTTCCCTTGGATGTTCCCTTGGGCATGTGGAACCAGTTTCAGAAACCGCCAAAGCTGCGGATGGATCCGGATTTCAGTCCTGCCTTCCCAGCCCGGAATCCCAAAGGTTGAAGATGTGGAATCTTGAGTCACCCCCTGTGCTGAAAAAGGAGCTTAATGGGCAGAGGTCACAAGGGCTAAACAAAAACATATGGCTCACTCCTATCATTGCGAAATTTGGCGTTACACATATATATATATATACACATATATTTAAGAGCTACTCCACAAGGCCATTCTCATTATTTTGGCCTTTCCATCATCCTTGTTGTTGGTGGGGCTAAATGGGTAAAATTAGAGATTGGCTCCTCCAGCCCGCCACGTGCGGCCTTCATTTCCGCTGTTTGACCAATTCCAGCGTCAATCTGAGCCTTAGGAGCCAGCACTCGCATCCTTTTCAGCTCTCACCCGAAGTTGCATGGTTTCACATACCCTTACTCAAAGCTTTGGCGTTTGTCACACCAAAGCTGGACTCTGTGTGCGCGTGCGTCTTGTTTTAGGGACCCCCCCAATAAAACAAACGCTTTTGGTTTCCCTTTGCAGGCCACTTCAGGGATACCCCCAGACGCAGCCATACGTTCCGATCTTCCTTTTTCTCTGCCAGGCCCTGAGAAACAATGACAACCTCATGAGCGTTGCCAACGCCTCGGCATAGGGATTTCGCGGGAGCCGGGGCTCAGTTCAAGGGGCACACCTGCACACCTCGGCCAAGTACCTCGTAATGGCAACTTCGGATTTTTCCGGATGACCAGGATTATAATCATGGGCGGTTCTCTTTCAGTAGGGAAATGAGCTATGTTAGTGGGTCCCTGACGCCACTGGATTAGTCCAAATTCTGACCCCTTCAACTGCTGGAGTACTTGGACCCTTTGGGTTAACAAAAATCAGGAGGTTTGGGCACCATAAAAGCTCCATGGCAAGATGTTGGGGGAGGGGGAGGGGGGTTGTGACGGGGTTGTGCCAAAACTGGGGACCATTCCAGAGGGTTGGCTTGTTGGCTTCAGGCATTTCAACTGTCCGACCGGTTTTGGCACGTACTTTGCTGACGAATGGTGGGAACGTATTCAAAGATGAGCGATGGGCATAAATCCCACGCAAGTGATGGTCACCAAGAGGTCCCACACATGTCACCGTTGATTTGGTTTTCAAGGTACTATCCCCAGTAAAGGTATTCAACAGTACCGGGCTCCAGTGTTTCGGCATGCCAGCTCCAGGTCTTGCAGAAGCATGCCACAAGTTTGACTGCAAGTGAGTTATATGACCAGCAAATAAAGCACCTTGACCAGCTGATTTTAGAGGATGCCGCCGCAAACCTGCAAAACCTGGTGGTTTATGACACAACTGAACCTGTTACCCAGTTCAGTTGCCCCCCCCTTCCCCATTTTCTCGTTTCGTTTGGTGCATGGGCCCTAAACTTGACTGCTATTGGGTTCGATCTTTAGGCCTTTTTTTTGTTGGGGGGGGGAAATCAAGGCGTTTTCCACTAAACCCCCAAAAGGTTAACCTTTTTGCAGGGGGGTCAACAGCAACCAACAAATGATAAATTCTTCCGAAAGGAAACCCCATTTGTTGTCGAACGGGTCAACCTGGGCAGAATGGAGCGTCACCGCATGACCATTGCCAGGCTCAACTCACCGTTGTGTCCCTTTGCCCCTTTGGCCTTCCATCATGTGTGCGTGTAACTTTCAGGACGCCTTTTCATCTAGATTAAAAGGAAGCCAACCCACATAATTTCCAACCTTTTTTGGGGAACCAGCACAGTGTTTAGTTTAGTTTCTGTATATACATAGTTTACACATTTTGATCATACAAGTCATCAACTTCCCGGCAAACACGCCATTCCACCCCAAATACACTGAACTAATGTTGGCCTTTTTTCGGCATCCCAAAGCGGGTTGTGTTTGGGGATCTCAAAAGGGGGGGTATGCGAAGACAGCCCCTTAGAGATTCTTGGCATTTTCGATCGGATGCTACGCTGTTCTCCTTGCAAGTAGAAGCCGGCACAACATATCATCCTGCTGGTGCACTTCTCTAGGCCTCTCATGTTTTGCCAGCATGTGGGGCATTGGGGGAGTTTCGTCTGAAAACGCGGGAGCCCGCAAAATGGATGGCTTCCCATTGGATTTTCTGGACCCTCCTTTCAACAATCTGAAAGTGGGCAGGAGGACGGACTACTATCCTCTTGAAAAGGTCCAAAACGTCAAATTCCATGATTGTTGGAGAAGGGCAAAGGAAGCCCCAAAAGGGTACCCATGTGTGCCACACGTTGAAACAGTCAGTGGTCATTTTTTCTTGGTTATAGATGGTTATTTGTAAAATCCTTGATGAGAATGCCCGGCATCAAAGCCTTCTTGCGAACACTCACCACTAGAATCCATCCCGCCTCTCAATCTTCTTTGTGAGGCATGAAGGGATGGGATAATGATGGATGGATAATTCACCTCTAATCCCGGCTAATTGGGGTTGCTGGGGATGGTCACGAACCCTCTATTGGATCTTGGACAACCAATGTACAAGTTACTGTAGTACTACAGGGGCCACGACTAAGCAGTTTCGAACATGCGAGTGGAGTACTGGTTTATAATGTTTTGAGCCTGCCAAACCTGGGGCGCATCGGAGTGGCTGGTAGAATGGAGGTTTAACAAATGAATTGAGCAAAAATCATGGTCTCGCAGGTCTCCCTTTGAAGGATAAGGGCCAAAATCAACAACGCGCCCATCACGCTGAGGTTTCGCTAAGCGACAGCAACCTTGAGGCGATGCTGGACGTAGCGTGGAAGGACTGCGGCTGTTGGGATGCGCCTGATCGGGGTTGGGCCCAGTCACGTGCTTCAGCACCTGTTCAAACAGCATCATTTGGGATCCCCTCGTTTCAGGGGCAAGGGTTGAAATGCATCTTGCCCAATCTTGCTTCCCCTCCGAGAACTGCCGAGAACCGCCGCTTTTCCTTCGATGGGCTGGCATTCCCGGCGCTTGTCTTTTTTGACTCACTCCCCGAGTTTCTGGCCATTTCAGCAACCGAGAAGTTGGAGTTGACCAATCCACTCCATGGAAAGTGAGTAACAGGGGGGAAGGCGTCACCTCCCATGGCTAAATGCAAAGGCCTGGAACAGCCCATCCCAGCAGCTCCGGCTCCGGAGGTTCCCGGATTGTGTCTGGCAGCGTTTGGCGAACGTCGGAGAGAGAAGCACAAACCGAAAGGCAGGAAAGAAGGAACGAAGAAGAGACACAACTTAAAGAGAGACCGATAAAGACATAGATAAAGACACAAAAACAAACGCCACATAACAAGAAAGACAGTGTCAATAGCGCAACAAAGGAAAGAAATAAGCAATGAAATAAATCAAGCAAGCAAGCAAGCAAGCAAGCAAGCAAGCAAGCAAGCAAGCCAGCAAGCAAGCAAGCAAGCAAGCAAGCAAGCAAGCAAGCAAGCAAGCAAGCAAGCAAGCAAGCAAGCAAGCATGAAGGAATGAAGAAATGAAGGAATGAAGGAATGAAGGAACGAATGCAAGAAATACAGGGAGGAAGTAAAGCAATAAAGAAAGGCAGATTGGCATTTCGATGGGTGTGGCCTTCTGTGGTGGAGGGAGCCTTCTTAGCACCTTTGTAGACGGGGGCGCATTTGGGGAACATCTCCATATAAGGCCCGCTTCACTTACCAAGCAGATCGGCCAAGGATTGGCCTTACTTTGCCTTTCGCGGCACCATTTGGACTTCTTCGGCAACTTGCGTTGCATGTATTCCCGAACCCCCACCGCAGCACTCAGGAGTCGCGGGCAGGGAGTAGTTGGTCCAATGTTTCTCTTGCTTAGGGGGAGAAGCGAGGAGAGCCTTCCCTTTTAGCTTCCTTTGGGGGATCCCATTTCAGTTCCCAACAAATTGTTGCTCTCTGTTGACCCCATATGACTCCACCCCAGTGTATTAATAGGGGGTCTCCTCCAAAAGTGGTCTGAGTCCCCACTAAACCGAGAAATGGACACCCCCCTATCAACTGGGGTTGATTCATATGGGATCAGCATTGGGAACCAAGTCTCCGAGGAGGAGGTGAAGGCTGGCACACAGCTGATCACTGAAGGCACGGACCACGGACTTCGAACCCCCAAAATGCCTCCCGCCGGTTTCGGGTGGGGTTTGGACCGCTTTGGATCCTGTTTGATACCGTGTCTGAAAATAGAGGAGCAGGCCCAAGAAGGTAATATGATTGCTTCTGAGCAAGTGTATACCCCTTGGCTCCCTGATTGCCACTTGGCGTATCCCGGGTCGACCTCGGAGACAGTGGAAGGGCGGGACGTGCCGGGCCCCAAATTTTAGACCCTCAACCCCGTTGAGCTTGTTTGAAGGAAAACATGCGCATAGGAATGACACCAAACCTGTATCTCAGAGAGGTCCAGTAGCAAACAAACATTCCCAACCCCTTCAAAATGGAATTGGCGGGAGGGGTAATTCGACTGGAGATCGGCAGTTATGGCAACCCATTCTTCCTATAATTAGCAAAGCTCACATAAAACAATCAATTGTTTGTTTTGGTCCCGGACCCCTCACCCCCTCCTGGTAGGGGGACAGCAACCAGTTGTGCACCACAAAGGATTTGACTGTATTCCAGAGAGTCCCGGCCTTCGGCGATTCGGAGCAAGTCAGGTGATCTCAATGCCGATTACTTCTACGTCGTCCAGGTGCGGTTTTTGTGTCCGCTTCTTGGGCCTTTGAGCCTTTGGCGGCCAGGGGTCCTGAAGCGGAAAGTGCCCTGAGCGGAACTTTTCTTTTTTTTTTTTGGTCAAGCTTCCGGCAAGCGGTTCAAGCAAGGGTCTAGGGTCTCTTGGTTTTTGCTAAGACTCTAGTGGGATGAGTGAAGCCTTGCCTTTCGTGGGCATTTTAAATGAGCGACTTTCCTTTTGGGGTGATGTTTGAAGAAAGGAACGTGAGGGACATGTGCAAGCCTTGATCTCACACAAGGCCTGTTACCTTGCCGGGTTCACGTGGAGCTCATGTTTGCGGCGGCCGGTTTTGTGTCGATATGAAATTGCAAGGCAGCACTCCTGCATATTGTGTGTGTGTTTGGGATTCCCTTCTGTTTGTACGGAGTGGGTTGGTAGTGGGTTGGCGGTTGGGTTGGGCTTGGCTGGGTTGGGTTGAGTTTGGTCGGCTAGTGGCTTGGCTGGCTGATGTGTTGGTTGGTCCGTTGGTCGGTTAATCGGGTGGTCGGTTGATCGGTTGATCACTTCGTGAATTGGCCGGTCGGTCGGTTGGTCTTGCTCAAGCAGTGGCTTTCAAAAGCACTGGGCCAGTTCTTTCTTGTTCCTCTCAGAGGGGCTCCCCCCAATTCAAAGAACAATACCCCTACGTCTTGTCCCAAGACAACGAGGCAAGCCATTGCAATGCCAACCAAAAAGCAATGGCCAAAATGCCTATGATCATGTCTTGATCCTTGACATCTTCCCTGGCAGTCCGGGACCTTCAACATCATCATCTCCCGCGGTGAGGAGGGGCCGCAGACTGCCTGGGGCCCCAGACTCCTGTTTGGCAACCAGTGGTAGCCAGGCTCGGGCAGCTCGGTTTTGTCCACCAGACCCTCACTTGAAAATGGGCATGGACACCACTTGTTTGCACCATATGTATCTCACCATGGGAGCGGTCCACCGTTGGCGCATGGTGATTTTTCATTTAAGACCAACAGAAGGCCATCCCTTTTCCAGGGTGTCAGGAAACAGCGTATTTGTCCCGAGTTCGCTGATTTTCCTCGAGGCACTCAGCGGTTTTGTTGGTGGGAAGGGCCTAAAAGCCGACTTTGCCGCCGTTCCCCCGGACTCCGTGGATACGGGTGCATGTGTGACGTGTTGAAACGCAGGCATTTCATTTGTAACAGCATATCCGTGTATGTATTCGCGCACGATACCTTTAGAGGGCCGATCGCTCTAGCAAGCCAGTGCAAAAGGCAGCAACTTGCCCCTCTTCTGGCAAACGGTGCCAGCTTTCGATGTTTCTCAAGTTAGCGGAGAAGATGAAGCAACCGACCGAGAAGCGTGTTGCAGGTCACACTCCAATCAATCTTGGCTTGGCTGGTTTAAGATCCTCTTGTTCCTTTGCGCAAGTTAGTTTGTGGCCATGTCCGGGCAAAAGATCCAAACAAAAGCGCTCCATTTGGGCCCACAAGGAAAACCTATGCTGGATTCCTGAAAGTTCTCGTTCCAGTATGTGCTGAAACACTCGTTACTAAATGGCCCATATATGCTCCTTGCTGTTCACCAAGAGGATGCAAAGGGGGTTGGAAAACGGTTTTGAATGTTTCCAATCGACCCTCTATTTGATCTCGGAGCACGAAGACCGAAGGAAGTCTGAAGGGGGATGTGGAGCCTGGTGTTGTCACATGTGTACATTGGATTCGCGGCTCGGTTCCTGGCTACTGTGTAGGAGCCCACATGGGTTGGCAAATGGACACAAAGACTGCAACCTGCGTATCGCTGGGTCTTGAATTTTGAGCCACACCATGGTGAACTAAGGTTGCTCAGTAGCCTGAGCTACCAACACAAAAACTTGACGGAACACCCGCCTGAAACTCCCTTAAGACAATTGCTATGTTTTCGTGGAGTTGCCCGAAACCACTACATACATGTTTGACCCGGGGGCTGCCAAGAGCACCAGTTTCGGCCCATGCACCAGGGCTTGGAATGTCTCCGATGTTGGGGGAATCCGCAGGGAAGGTCAAGGAGAAACAAGCCAAACTTGGTGAATGCTTCATGCATCCTAATATGCAGTATGGCCCATGACTTTACTAGTCAAGTCTAGCAAGACAATTTTGCCACAGGGCCATTCGATCCGCTGTATGTCATGGTTTCATGGACAAATTTGTGTGCCCCATGTCATTCATGTTAAACAAAATCCGAGGGAGCCGTTCCCCTTTGGCTATGACGTGGACCTCACGTGGATGGTCATTGTTTGGTGCCGCCGTCGGGTCTTAAACTCCGGCTAGGACCTGTGTGTTTGTCCCTTGCAGGCCTGCGCGCCGAGGTGTGACTAAGCTTGGTTTGAAGCGAGGGAGAGTCCCAACCAGAAATAGGTGGCTGTGGGTCCAAACCAATGGTACCATTTTGGGGTGAATTCCCCACCCATTTTAGTCTACTTTGGTGGGGGATTGGGATGTTCACTGGGGGTACGATTTGGATTTTGACCCATGGCCAGATGTGCACATCCCCCCGTCAACGTCTTTGGGATGGGTGGACCATTTTGATACCAGGCTGGGCGGGTCGGATGAAGGACATGTGATCTTTTGGCGTGTGCAGGGTCCTTGTGGTTTCCCACCTTCCCAAAGCTGAACGTTTTTTTGTTTTTGTTTAAGGTGGGCCAAAAACTTGGTTTGGATGAAGGAGATTTGCGAAAGCCCTTTGGTTCTTTCAAAGGGTAAACCAAGCTAGGCCCCCCAGTGGTGCCCTTTTACCCTTGTTTGAGGTAGGGGAACCCCCAAAAATAGACAGAAGAAAGGGTACCCTTATTCTAACCTCTCTACTGGAGGACCTAGCAAACCCCACCCCACCCCACCCCCACCCCACCCCCTAGGTGGGCTCCATCAGCGAGGGCGGCAGCTTTGGGGAGTTGGCCTTGCTCTACTTCGCCCCCCGGGCCGCCACCATCCAGGCGAAGCGTTTCGGCGCCCGAAACGCTTTCGCCAGGGGTTCGGCGGTTTCGGCGGCCGTCCCGGCGGTTTCGGCGGCCGTCTCGGCGGGTGCTGCCTTTTGGGTGTTTTCCCTGGGGCCCGGTGCCAACGAAACCTCCCCAAACAGACACCCCAGTTTTTTTGTAGGTTCCTTGCAATGGGCCAGGAACAGCTAGCACACCCACCGGTTTTTGTAGGTTTCTTGCGAAGCTTTCCGGGGAGAAGCAGCAAAACAAGGGTTGCAGGTTCCACTTACGGATGAGGGTATCCCCAGTCCGGACGATCGCGGTGTTGCGAAGACGGGCGTGGTTGAGCTCTCAATGTGGAGGCAAAATGGCGATCCTTCCACGTCCACGTCCTTTGGTTCCAAGTCAAGAGAAAGTCCTCTTCTGACCAAAATTTCTAGTGGTACCCCACCAGCCACCTTTCCCATTGGAACATGGCCCCTGGGTGCTAAACAGCCAAGATAGTTTCCCGCACTGGGAAACCCATGCCGTTTGACGTGTACAGGCCACTCTCGCTTGCCCAAGCAAATTTGCTTCCCCTCAGCAACCATTTGTAGCGATAACCATTTTTAGGTATCCACGCAGCTCGGCAGGCCAAGGACGCCTGCGTGGTTTGGGTCATCGACCGCAAGAACTTCAAGGAGACATGGGAGCCGCGCCCATGGCACCTGGGAACGCGCCCGAAAAGGAAACCGTGTTTTGCTTGTTTTTCCCCTTTTTTTTCTGGGGGATGATTGCTTGTCCATTCTTTTCAACCATCGTTTCCCTGGGTTTCTCGAGGTTGTCTAGAAAGAAGGATCCCTGGAAAGAATGGGGAAGGTACCACTCGAGTTTTTCCATTTTGAGGGTTCTGCTAGTATACTTTGGGGATTGGTTGATGTTGACTTCACTTCCTGAGTTCATGGACTTCAACCACTTTTGGGTTTTGACCGTTTTAGTGGCCTACAAAAGGTTTACATACTTGCTTTTTTGGGGGCCATCCACTCGATCAGAAGTGAGCGGCCATTTTGATGGTTCTACTATTGGGGGGTTGTAGTATGCGCCCAAGCCAACGGCATCCATCTTTTGAGGTAAAGGGTGATCACCTGAAAATGTCCAGGCCTAAAGGGGTCAGGGTCCTGTTTTGCGCTCCTGGTAGATCCCTGCGCGCAGCAGACCGGGCAATGAAGCAAAGATGGGAAGTAGGAATGATGGGATTTTGAGTTTGGTCGTTTGACGCTGCAGACTTGCCGCTCCGTGTATTTTGAAACCATAAACCCTGTTGTTGAAGCTCACTGGGAAGGTAGCCCCCCAATCTCTAAACCACCAATTCCACCCATGCAAGGGGAAATTAAGGATGCGTTCCCAGATTTGTCCACTTGCCCAACTCTTGGTTTCGCATGAATCGAGGAACACTGGTATTGTTTGTGCCGGTAATCTTTGTGTGGTTGCTTCAAAAGGCACTGGACAACCTGTCCACTGTGGATTGACTGAAGTTGAAATGTGGTCGTTGGCAACCATGTTCAGCAAAGGTCCCCAAAGGTAATCATTGAGTATGCGAATATAACCAACAGCCCATTCCAACAGAATCATGCATTGCATTACAAGGCTGCAAATTGAGTACGTGAAGCCACGAACTTGCAAATCCCGGTTGCTCAGTGGCTCTCATTAACCTATTGCTGTTGGGGGTTCCCCAAAACGCAGCCAAAACGGTTCACACAGCAGCAACATTCATTCCACAGCATCACCAGCAAGGCTGCTTGTAAGCAAGCCTCGGGGCCCAACAAGGTACGCCTCAAAAGAGCCTAGACCTTTTTGTCGAACAGGTCGCTGGTTGTGAGTATCTTGCCCCGTTGCGTTGGAGTTCGGCCGGGTTTCGGCGAGGAGATCTTGGCGCAGTCTTCCACTGCAATGGCCAGTGAGTACGTGAAGTACCTGGACAAGGCCCCGATTGGAAGGGCACGAGCTCACCCAATGGCTGGGAAGTTGGGTTTTGGGGTGAGCTTCTGCGATATTCAGGGAACCTGCTTTGGAACCAAAACAAGCTTACCTATGATGAAGTTTATTTCTTTAACTCCGGGGTTGCGTAGTTTCAGCTTCCCCTCAATTCGTGGTTTGGATTGGTGGTTTTCTTAAAAGTGAATGGGACCCCTCTAGCATCCAAACCAACTAGAGGGAAGCTGATACTTGCAGTTGGATGATAAATTGCCTAGAGAACTGCTCCGGAGCTTCGGCAGTTCCCTACTGTGGATGGACAAAGTCCATTTTGCACCACCTAGCAAAACCCTGGTTTTAGATGATTCCGCTGTGAATACCAACAAACTCTGGTTTCCCATGGTTTGAAAGTGGTGCAGGATTTCTTTTATCCACTGTAGCATGACCAAAGTTGGTTTAAAGTATCCCACTGCTTCAGAGGATCCCCTCTGACCAGCAGGTGCATGTTGCATGCATTTTTTTATGGATCCCTTCTTTAGGACCCTCCACGCTGTGTCTCACTTGCCCAAACCTGACCTACCTTTCCACTATGTGCCCAAAAGTTGATCACCTTCTATTTCCAGGTCCCTGGGGCAGCTGAGCCATATGTGAGCGAGTTTCTCCAGGAAGCGGAAAGGGTGTATCATGGTATATCCGAAATGTGTCTCTTGTCGGACTCCTATTTTGTCACTGGCAGGATTGTCAACCCTTCCCCCTTCCTTGTGACCATGGCCCCAGGTTACTCATGCTGGCAACCATTGGCAACTTTGAGTGATGGCGATCCCAATCCAAATCGACCCTTGTGACCTTCTTTGCTTCCCCTTCTTTTTTTTCCGCCAGCCATTAGTGGCCGATCCCCTCTTGTTTCCAGGTCCTTTGGGCCACACACACTTGTCCCTACCTCTCGGTGGTTGTTGGGAAGCATTTTACATTTTTGCTTGTTGTGGTTTGGTGGTTGAAATCCCCACTTAACTGCTAAAAAATATATTTTTGCTCCCCTTCCAACGTCAACCGAGACCTTCCTTGGCGCATTTCAACTTGTCGCCGAGAGACTTGCAGAGGTGGAGATCCTGCAGCCGCTGCAGGCGAGAGGGCGAGAGGGCGAGAGGGCGAGGGGTGGGTTGCAGGGAGATCCCCGACTGCTTCCCCTGCATGTGTGTTTTGGATCCCCCCCCCAAAACCTGGGGAGGTCCAAATCAGGGTCCTCTAAACATGGTAACAGACATGGTGTTTTTTTTTGGGGTGGTTCATGTGGTTTTGGAAATCTGGGCCTCCTGCCGCTTTTTGGCATATTTCAAGTCAGGAAAAGTGGCCGGTGCGTGAGCACTTTATATCTCCCTTTCGGAGCCTTTCTGAAAGCCTCTAGCCATATCCTCATCACCCAGTGCGTGCAGTTTCCACGGTTGTTGTTGGGAAACATTTTACATGTTTGTTTATTGTGGTTTAGTGGTTGAAATCCAATTACTTAACTAATTTACATTGTTGCCCCCCTTCAACGTCAACCAAGTTATTTCTGTAGGTCACGGTCGCCAGGGGTCCCTAACCTCTAGGTCCTCTAGGTGTCACATGATTTCCCCGGTCATTTTGGACGCCCGAAGTTTATGCCGGAAAAGGGTTAAAGAACCGGTCCTTACTCTTTGGCAAGTCGTCTATCCATGATGGCAAGTTCCTTGGCAATTTGTTTCAGTAGTTCTTTGCACAAGTGGGGCACTTATTGCAATGTTGATGGCAGGGGACATGCTGCACGCCTTATTTGACTATGGCTGTGGCAAGTATCTGACCAAGCATGTGTTGAGTTGTTTCTTCTTTTTGTGACGCCGCTGTTGGCTGGCTTAAAACGGATCGCCAAAAGCAAAACTTTGTGTTTTCAGGAGTCCCTGCTGCGAGAAAACACATTCGTGGTTGCAACACTTCGATGCAGAGCCCGTGCGAGGAGCGGTGCTAGAGTCGTCGGTGGTAGAGTGAATAAGGCACTAAAAAATGTGATGCCACACTGCCCTAACAGCCAACCTAAAGGCACTGGGGTGCCGGCCCTTCCTCAATCTGGACCATAGCATCTACAAACATGGAACCTGCCTTTTTCCAACAATTATGGAGCTTTCTCAGAAGGAAAGTAGCTGTCCAAAACCCTCCTGTCAGCTTCCAGGATTGTTGCTGGGAGGGTATTTGGTGTTTTTTCTGGAAGATATGTTCCTCAATGGGACCACAAGTTAGTTGACGCAAATGTACCTATTTGCATGGTGCGCCCATTTCAGGTTTGGTGCTTAAACTTTTGTCTATTGTTTGTCCATTTGGGAGGAACATTGCAGGACATTCCCAAACGTCGCACCAAAAGCAACCATAGGCGCTCGCTGTTTTTCCCCATGTCCTTGGGTGGGGTCAAGCACTTGGGTGGCGCATTTGCCACCAGGATGAAGAGAAGATGGCCCTGGCAAAGGCCCTCACGGAGATGCACCTCGGCCCGGCTGCTATTGGGTTGGATCTTTAGACTTTAACTTCTTGGTTGAAGTCAAATTGGGTTTTCCACTAGACCGCCCAACAAGTTAAACTTTTTGCAGGGGGGGTTGTTGCAGCAAGCAAGGGCTGTTTGTTTCGTGGGGGTGGAGGATGGTAATCTTAACATCGGCTTAGTATGATTGCTCTAGTCCGAGGACCCCAGTAGATGAGTTCCTTAAAAGGGGAACCCCTGAATAGTACAGACCGGAGCAATCTCTCACTTGCCCAAAGCGAATCGACCTTTTGACTTGTTTGGTTTTCCCATGGCCCATTTTTAGGTCATGGCCCCAGGTCAACCTTTTATGTCCAGCTCCTTTGGGCAACTGAGTCATATTCCGTTTCTCCAGGAAATGGAAATGGGATACCCAATGTATCACACAGGGGCTGGTCTCCAAAACTTCCGAGGAACCAGATCGATCTCAGTTTGGCTTCCTTTGAGCTTGTACTGGAGGCTTTGCCTCGCACCTTGCCTGCTGCAGGTGTTTTAACCCTGCGAACTCTGAAAGCAGTCGCTTCCAATAAATTTGCCAGTGCCATCATTCCCATGTCAGTGTGCACCTTTTGGAGGAGAACCAGGCACTGGAAACATCCGCATCCGGTCAAAAATTCCAGCTGCCCACTCAGGTGTTTGAACCTGGAATTGTGCCAAGTCCCTTCACCGCCACACGATTCCTTGGGGATCAAAACGCGAACTGTTGCTCAGTGGCCTTCTTCATTTGCTAGAATCTCAGTAAAGGCTCACTTGCCCAAAGCGAATCGACCTCTGACCTTTTGGTTTCCCATTGGTGGCCCCGAAGCCCACCACACCACCGCGCCACTGCGCACCCCGCGGCCTGGCCCGAAACCCGCCTCTCGCTTCAGGTCCTTCAGCAAGAACGAGGTGATCTTCCAGCAGGGCGAGAAAGGCCCGGTGAAGGAGGGAGGCTTTCAGTTTGACCCTGGGGTTCAGAAACCACCACTAAAACCATGGGTTTTAATAGAGCCACCTTTCTTCTTTAACCCTTCAGGACTTTCATCATCCCAATTGGGTCCCAAGGATTCCCATTGGGATTCCCTTTCTTTTAAAGGGAATCGATTGACCGCCAAATTTTATCTGTCACTCAGGTAGAAATGGGCCCATGGCCCGACTTGGTCAGATCATTGGCCTTCCAAGGGCTTCAAAGGACATGTTTTTGTTAGGGGGGTCGTGAGAAAATTTTGCCGATCCCCTCAAAAAGGAATCCTTCACTATGAGGGGGTCGATCAATTGTGCAGGTGGCAAAAAGACCCCGGTTTGTTCCCCGGAGCGAAGGATTCAGAGAGTTGGTGTTGGATATTGAGAAACCTGTAGACTGGGTGCGGCTGCAAGAAGTGTCCCACTCAGCAAAGTTCAACTTTGTGGCAGCAACTTTTTGGGACGTGCTCGACACAGGAGCTTCTGTTGACAAACTGGCCATGGGGACACGGCGATCCAAAGAAACAAAGGTTGAATGACTCCGGGCCAAGCCGAAAGCAACGCGAACCCAACCATCAACCGCCCATCAACCACCCCACCCCATAGGTAGATCATTGGGAGGGGGAAGGGCTGGGGGTGCCGGGCTAGAATGCCATTGCGCCTCAGTGAGCACAGGTGTACACTTGGGAGTGTGTTTGTTTGAGGGTACCACCTTTTTGGCGGGGTTAAAGGGGAACCAAAAGGAAAACCCACCATTCCCCTAAAAAGTTGGGAAATGATTGTTTCGTAACCAGGAAATGGGACGGGGATGCTAAGGTCCCACTTGCACACGGAATAGATACCCCAATCAGCTGTTGATGGGCTAAGGGTTGCGACATACTCAAAAGCCCATGCTTACGGCTCAATTGAGGGCAAGATAAATTTATCCCGGTTGATTAACTCGTGGGTGGGAACACCCACCTGTTCATCAAGGTTTAGTTGTCCAGGGCCGACATTGCGGGTGGGTAAGTCTATTTGAGCAGCGCCCAAACCTCTTATTATTGGTCATTTTTTGTGAGTGGTTCTACCACCTGGTTTATTTGGGATTGACATGATCCCTATATAAGTGGTCATTCACATGCTGGCGGAGCCCCACAAGAAATGTCAAACGGGCCAGCCTTGGACCCAGACAGTGGGACCCAGCTTTTGCGGACCTAATATTAGCAAAATATATGGCTTCCCCAAGTCATCAACCCCAATATCGGGGCCATTGATAATGGGTTTCAACCAGTGCTTTTTCAGGGTTTGTTGTACAGGGGAGAGCTCCGCATCGCAGGGGACGCCTTTTACATCCTCATCGAGGGACAGGCGTCATGGGCAGTGGGGGTTGTTGCACTGCTTCCTCGTTGTCCGCCTTTTGCAAGGCGTGTTTTTTTTCTTCTTCAAAAGACCGGAAGGAGAGCCAATGCCTGCCTACCAAGATTCTTAGAGCCCTGGTCCATTCAAAGACTGTCATGTACCCCTGAGTGTGTATCCATGCACAGATGGATAGAATTACATGCCACTGAAGTACACGCCCCAAATGCACACCCTCTTGTGCCTGCCGCGCTTCCCTAAAGGTTTGGTTTGCCATCGGGGTTGGCCTTGCTATGGCCTGATTTGGGGGAAACCAGGGTCACATTTACAAGAAACAACAAGGGTTCAGTGAAGCAACTGCCGGACGCAAACTTTAGGGACGCTGGGCATGCTAGCGGCTAACACGTTCATGATGTTGTTCCCAAACAGCTGGAAGCTTTGGGGAGTGTGTCGCAGCTTTCAGAGAAGGTTCGCGGTACCGGGGCTTCCGAGGCTGGGGGTATCACCTGGTCTCTCCTGTTTTTTGGTTGGAATCCCCCGATGAATCGAGAGCTCACGTCGAGGTAGAATGTGTGGAGATCATTTGAATCAGGGGTTGCCCTGACGAACCCAGAATTCCCGTCGAATCATCATGGACCCAAACGATCCTAAGAATGGTGGGTTCTGGGGTTCCATATTAAGCTGGGGAGCAAACTGAGCTCCAGCTGCCTTTGTATATGTGTGTGCGTGTTTCCCACGGTGAGCTCCCCTTCAGGATAAACCGGCCCAAAACAGGTGCCCATGTTCCTTTTGTCCGGGGCCTCTAGAGTCTTGCGCAGCCCTTCTTTGAATTTGATGTGGGGGGGGGGGGCTGCAAGATTGGTAGCCAGGACAAACTAATGTGTATCTCTCTATATATCTTACCAGATCTTATTTTGTCTATCTTGTGCTTCTAATCTAATCTAATCCAATCCAATCCCATCCATCCATCCATCCATCCATCCACTCCACACGCGTAGATCTCCCAGCGCAGTGAGGTGAGCGTGGTGAAGGACGGCCGGGAGGTCACCAAGCTGGCGGCCAGCCCCGAGAAAGCCTCCTTCTTCGGCCCGGGCCCCGGGGAGCCCGGCTGCGCGGGGTGTCCTCCGGCGGACTTTCAAGGCTCACCCCCTTGAGGTCATACTGGAAACCCCTTTTGGGATGGCTTGAACGGGAAACCACCGGGGAAACCACCTTTTTATTTGTTTCCTTTTCTTTTTTTCCTTTTTTTTCCCCAAAAGCATCTCTGATGCTTGGGTTCTGCTTTAGGTTTTCTCTTAAGGTGCCTGGGAGCGATACAAGCTGTGACGACGGAGATAAGAAGGGATTTCCATTTCGTTGTGCTGCAGACCGGGCGTGCGATGCCGGCTGGGGGTGCAGACCGGGCGTACGAGGCTGGCTGGGGGGACGGCGGTGTGGTGCAGACTGGGCGCGAGGCTGGCTGGAAACCGCCCGCGAGCGAGACTGGCGTGGTGGACACTTGTGACACGCGGAAACCGCCCGCGAGCGAGACTGGCGCGGTGGACGCTTGTGACATGCGGAAACCGCCCACGAGCGAGACTGGCGCGAGGGACGCTCGTGACATGCGGAAACCGCCCGCGAGCGAGACTGGCGCGGTGGACGCTCGTGACACGCGGAAACCGCCCGCGACGCTCGTGACATGCGGAAACCGCCCGCGAGCGAGACTGGCGCGGTGGACGCTCGTGACATGCGGAAACCGTTCGCGAGCGAGACTGGCGCGGTGGAGGCTCGTGCCATGCGGAAACCGCCCGCGAGCGAGACTGGCGCGGTGGACGCTCGTGACATGCGGAAACCGCCCGCGAGCAAGACTGGCGCGGCGGACGCTCATGACATGCGGAAACCGCCCGCGAGCGAAACTGGCGCGGTGGACGCTCGTGACATGCCGCCCGCGAGCGACACTGGCGCGGTGGACGCTCGTGACATGCGGAAACCGCCCGCGAGCAAGACTGGCGCGGTGGACGCTCGTGACATGCGGAAGCCGCCCGCGAGCGAGACTGGCGCGGTGGACGCTCGTGACATGCGGAAACCGCCCGCGAGCGAGACTGGCGCGGTGGACGCTCGTGACATGCGGAAACCGCCCGCGAGCGAGACTGGCGCGGTGGACGCTCGTGACATGCGGAAACCGCCCGCGAGCGAGACTGGCGCGGTGGACGCTCGTGACATGCGGAAACCGCCCGCGAGCGAGACTGGCGCGGTGGACGCTCGTGACATGCGGAAACCGCCCGCGAGCGAGACTGGCGCGGTGGACGCTCGTGACATGCGGAAACCGCCCGCGAGCGAGACTGGCGCGGTGGACGCTCGTGACATGCGGAAACCGCCCGCGAGCGAGACTGGCGCGGTGGACGCTCGTGACATGCGGAAACCGCCCGCGAGCGAGACTGGCGCGGTGGACGCTCGTGACATGCGGAAACCGCCCGCGAGCGAGACTGGCGCGGTGGACGCTCGTGACATGCGGAAACCGCCCGCGAGCGAGACTGGCGCGGTGGACGCTCGTGACATGCGGAAACCGCCCGCGAGCGAGACTGGCGCGGTGGACGCTCGTGACATGCGGAAACCGCCCGCGAGCGAGACTGGCGCGGTGGACGCTCGTGACATGCGGAAACCGCCCGCGAGCGAGACTGGCGCGGTGGACGCTCGTGACATGCGGAAACCGCCCGCGAGCGAGACTGGCGCGGTGGACGCTCGTGACAGGCGGAAACCGCCACTGGCGCGGCGGACGCTTGTGACATGCGGAAACCGTTCGCGAGCGAGACTGGCGCGGTGGACGCTCATGACATGCGGCAACCGTAATTGTCCTTTTTGCCGCACACCTGACCCGAACAAACGGTGCCAATGTGTTTCTAGGACGAACCTTCTCTTCAGAAGCTGTAGCCTCTTGGGGTTCGCCCTACTTATTTGGAAGCAGCCTGGAAGCACGTTGACATGAATATGCTAAGCACACTCGGCCCAAACAAAAGGGCGCACGAACATCCGAACAGCTGACCCCGGTCTACGCAGATCGTGGTAACACTGTGTCTCAGACTTGTTTCGGACAGGCGTCAGACCCACCAAGTGACCGAGGCTTGTCCACACCGAGCCCCCCGTAAAAGCGCAGCGCCGGCCCCGTCTCCACACACCTGCGGCGAATCCACCCAACTTGCCATCCACACGCGTCCGATTGACAACGTGCGCGGCCCTTTCCACAAAGTCACCAGTTGCAATTGGTTGCGAATGGGAAAATCGGTGGAGAAACTAACGAATCCAAGCAAGCTTACGAAGCAAGTTTGTGAAGGCCACGTGCACGGCTCCATGTGAACAGCCCGGCGTTCCAGGTGCGCCAAAATTGTCATTTTTGCCGCGCACCTGACCCGAACAAATGGTCCCAACGTGTTTCTAGGACGAACCCTCTCTTCAGAAGCTGTAGCCTCTTGGGGTTCGCCCTACTTATTTGGAAGCAGCCTGGAAGCACGTTGACATGAATATGCTGAGCACACTCGGCCCAAACAAAAGAGCGCATGAACATCCGAAGGTCTACGCAGATCGTGGTAACACTGTGTCTCAGACTTGTCTCAGACAGGCGTCAGACCCACCAAGTGACCGAGGCTTGTCCACACCGAGCCCCCCGCAAAAGCGCAGCGCCGGCCCCGTCTCCACACACCTGCGGCGAATCCACCCAATTTGCCATCCACACGCATCCAATTGACAACGTGCGCGGCCCTTTCCACAAAGTCACCAGTAACAGTTGCAATTGGTTGCGAATGGGAAAATCGGTGGAGAAACTAACGAATCCAAGCAAGCTTACGAAGCAAGTTTGTGAAGGCCACGTGCACGGCTCCATGTGAACAGCCCGGCGTTCCAGGTGCGCCAAGATTGCCCTTTTTGCCGCACACCTGACCCGAACAATTGGCGCCAATGTGTTTCTAGGACGAACCCTCTCTTCAGAGTCTGTGGCCTCTTGGGGTTCGCCCTACTTATTTGGAAGCAGCCTGGAAGCATGTTGACATGAATATGCTGAGCACACTCGGCCCAAACAAAAGGGTGCATGAACATCCGAACAGCTGACCCCGGTCTACTCAGATCGTGTTGTAACACTCTGTCTCAGACTTGTTTCTGATGGGTGTAGAGCGAGCTTATGCCGTGCTTCCAATTTGGGAGTGGTAGTTTGTGCGGATCCATTCTCGGATTTCTGCGATTGGTTCTTCATGATGAATCGGATGACTTCGTGCCTTCCATGTAGTGCGGGGCCTGTCATGTTTCACCCGTGCCTTTGCATTTTTCTCTGTGCTTGGTCAGAGCACAGGCTGCTGGCTGCCAATCCGGCTTGAGTCGCGGTTGCTCCCCTTCTTCATCTGTTTTGGGGTTGATTTCCCAACTGTGAACAACTTAAATCTTGGCTTGCCTTCGGACCCTTGAGCCGGAAAACAACGGGATCCACATGCCATGGGGAGTGAGGCTGGTTTGCTTTTGGGTTCCCGGGCTCCTCTTGTTTTTTTTTTGTTGGGGGGGGTTGGAACCTTATTCTAAGAAGACAAAATCCATTTCGCGCCACCGTTCAGAAACCCTGAAATGATTCGATTCTCCTGTCAATACCAACAAACGATGGTTTCCCATGGTTTCAAAGTGGTGCGGAATGGATTTCGTCCATCCACAGTAGACTTTAGTCAGTTTGGGTTTGGTTGCCATTTTAGTGGCAAACAAAAAGTGTGAACTTTGTTGTCTCCACTCAAAAAAAGTGAGATGTTTGGTCCCTGAGCCGTCTTGCATTTCGGCAAGCTGGCTTTGAATGAGCACAACACCCACCTGGAGGGATGCTGCAACCGGACCCCGCGAAGAGCCTCTGAGGCGAGAAGGCGCTGCTGAGCCACGAGCCCCGCAACGCGCGAGGGCCGAGGAAGGCTCCGAGCCGATGGCGATATGGCGGAGATCCAAAACCTGAGGTTTTTCCGGTGGTTTAATTTTGACACATACCCAGGTTTTCTTCGTGCGAGAGATGCAGGGAATAAGAAATGGAATGACCCCCAGAGACCATCCAACTGGTGTCCTTGAAGGGAATCCCCTTCTGGTTCATTCTCACATTCCCCGCTGAGCATCAGCGTGTGTTAAAGAGGCTGCTCAAACCCTCGCTGGACTAACCATTGGCAAGGCTGGAGAGAGCGCAAGCAAAAAGACACGAAATCAATCCTTGCGGTTGTTTAAAGAAAAGAAGGTCGCTAGCGCGAGACCGTGAAAGTATTTTGCATGTTCTGTTCTTTCTTGGTTCGGGTAGGGCACAAGGAAGGGGTGTGTGTTTTTCCTCACTTGGCACCGATGGATTCCCAGGGCTCACGGGCTTGCGTTTTTTTCTTGGTTCAATTAGAAGCGAAGAACAACTTTGGCTTTTCAAGGCCAAATTCCCCTTTGAGGCCCAAAAAAAAACACCATGCGTTTCAGAGTACTTTGTTCACACGCTTTCTTCCGTGACCGCCCCCAGAAAGAAACGTGGTATACAACCACTATGTGGTGCTTTGTTACGCAAGTGTCCATTTTTCTTTCAGGATCTCAAGAGAGTCTAGCGCGCTGTGCCTGCAACTGTGGATGTACCATGGTTGCTTGTCGTCGAGGAAAGCAGAAATTAAGGCCTGAGTTTGTCCTACTTTAGGACCGTGTCGTTGTTGATATTTTAGTGCACCACTCATTTTAGTCTATTTTAGTGGGGATTGGGATGTTCACTGGGGGTTCGGGCTTTTGACCCATGGCCATATGCCAGGGGTCCGTGTTCGTTGATTGGCCGGTTTTCCTTTTTCTGGGCGGGTGCTTCGCTGAGGCGACGCTGCAAGTGATTTCAGACTCTGCCAAGGCAGGGTGCGGACGGATGGCGGGGCGAGCGATGGGCGGACGTCTGCAACCAGCCACCCTCATTCCCACCCGAGCAGTGCCCAAAACCGATTCCTATCGGCAACTTTTTAGTAGGTGGTGCGACTGCCGGGTTTCGCATGGGTGGTAGCATATTGGCAGAACCAATTGGAAAAGGCCAGAGGAGTCTTATCACACCTTTCTGTCAGGTTGCAGTCAAGTTGGAGGGAGGGCAAAGGGGTAATTGCTTGTTCAAAATTTCATTTCGGAATTTGAATATTGTTGTTACCTTTGTGAAGTGATGCCTGCGGCCAAAACAAGAATTCAAACCTGCGCCCCTCGAAAGTTTGAGCGCCTGGGATGGGGTTGCACCTTGATTGTAGGACAAATCGGGCCGTACGTGTGTGATGGTGTTTGTGGTTTGATTGCTTTCTGCAGAGGATTTGTCTGCTTCCGGTCTGTCTTTTTTTTGGTGATGACGGGGGAGTTGCAACCATTGCGAAACTGATTTTACCTTTGTTGTTTGCCGTTTTTGGCTCACTTGCCCAAAGCCGACCATTTGACCTTTGAGTTCCCCAGTTTTGGTCCATTTTTGGTCATGGCCCCAAAAAGGTTGAGCTTTATTTCTGGATCCTTCGGGCAACTGAGGTTGCTCCTCATGCCCAAATTCAAACTTGTCCCCTTAGCCCGGGGTTGGCTCGATCCATTTGGCCCAGCGGCCTGCAAGCCAGTGCAGTTGAGCCGCAGCTTGCTTTGGTCCCGGGTTAGTTGATGCATGGGAACCCGGGGTGGTTCTGGGCTTAGTGGGGATTCTTCAGACAGTTTCCTATGGTGTGTTCAAGGAAGCATCGTTGCTTTGAGCGGCCGCACGGCAAGCCAGCCATTGCAGATACACAGTGACTAATAGCACTCGTGAAGGTTCTGCGCACTGCCTAGCAGCTTCGAAACTGTTGCGACGAGCAAGTGGGTAGATGGGTGGGTGGATGGGTGAGTGAGTGAGTGACTCCTAGAAATGATTAGGTGACTTTGGGAACCATCAAGAGTCAGGGCACCCCCGCACGCCAAATCAGTACTGAGTTCAGGCAGCCATAGGCTTGGAGCCCTGAATCAATCGTTTTTTTTTTTTTTTTTTTCCGCTTGGGAAAAACGGAATTCCCAGCCCAGCAAAGACAAACCTCTCAAGCCTCCAATCCCCCTCCCGGCCAACTCCTCCCCAACTCCAAGCCCGTCAGACGCTTACCGTGGACAAGATGTCCTTCGACATGATCCTCGGTCCCTTAGAGGAGCTGCGTACGCCGCTCGGCCGGAAAGACGCCCTTTTTTCGGGAACGCTCAGGATTGGGCCAACTTTGGGATAGGAACCTTTGGCATAGCAGGTAACCAAAAGTTACATAGGCGTCACTTTTGGTGGATTGTTTAGAAATAGATGGCACTGGTTTACATGTATCTTAGTTACATACCTGGGCCATCTCTTTTACAAGGACACCTATAGTTACATGCCCATGCTCCGTAAAAAATCAGGATTGACATGGGGGGTGTCCCATTTGGGTTGAATCCTTTGCTTTTGAGGAACATTCAAATGATCCACAGGGGTCAACGAACGGGCCCGGGGCCTTTTCCTGGGAAATTCTCCAAGCCGCTGTGTCCCAGTCACATTCAAGCAAAGGAAGCTTCTTACGAAATGACACATTCATTTGGAAGCTGACCAGTGCCTGTGAAGCCGAGCTGGGGCCCTGAACCCGCGAACTCACTTGACTTGCGGCGAACATGTCGACGCTGCATGCTGCAGGTTTGTTGAGTCAAGTGTGCTAACTTGCAACCATACTTTGTTAAGTTTCCCACATGGAGTCAACAAGAGGATTTGTTTAAGGCCCTTGTCATGTATAACGCGTGTCCATTTTGTGCGGTCAACCCACAAGGCTCGCTGTCAAGTCGTGCAGGCAAGAATCATTGGAGTAGATGACATCAGACACCGGTTCCTATCCCCAAAGCATGCATACCCCAATATGTCAAATGGCTGTGGGTCAAAAATAGGTACCCCAAATGGAACCCCGGCAAATGGAAAGAAGGACTAAAACCTGCGGTCCCCTGGTGGTTTTATTTTGACCCACACCCAAATTGCCCTTAGTTGGTGGCTTGGATTTGGATTTGAAGCCCGGTTCTTGTAGCTGGTAGAGGGGAACCCCTTAACCACCAAACCACCAATCCAAACCAAGCGGAAGGGTTTGTGCTTCGGAAAGCATCGGATCCCTGGAAAATATGTGGAAGCTATTCTCCTTGACATGGCACACGCTGAAAGGGTGTGGACCAAAAAGCAGCTTCCACAAGTAAAACATGTTTTTTTTCTTTCGGGTTCCAGTCTTCAGGAGTACCCCGAGTTTTTCGCATCGCTAAGGAGAGGCAAGCAGGGCAAGAGCAAGCTAGAGGCGCGTCAACAAACCATTCCTCATGCGCTTGGCACGCCCAGGCACCGTGTGTTTTGAGGGTACCCTTTTCAGCTTGTTTGGTTCAAACCACAGCGAAACCGAAACACACTTATTATTGGGGTCTCCATATTTGCCAAACACAGACGCGCGCGTGTTTGTGTGTGTGTTGCTTGATACACTTTTTGGGCTGTTTCAAAAGAGAAGCCACAAGACACCCTCCCGATTGTTTTGAGGTTTTTGCGCTGAGGCAAAGCCAGACGCATGTTGATTTTGTTGCAAGGGGTTTTTGTTGGTTGCTGTTTGAGCCACATGGCTCATGCTTTCACATCTAAGTGTGGCGTCAGGCAAAGGGGGGGGAGGTTGGAACTGATTTTCTGTGGTGGTTGCTTGTTTCTATGGGTTATCAACTAAATTGCTGCTGGTCAACATAGACCGCAACTCACGTTTGGAGGACCTTCTTTTGGTGGATCCTTTTGAGGGATCATGTTAATTTAAAGCCAAGTAGCGAACGGGTTCCAGAAAAATCCCCTAGCCCTGTTGAGAAACAGAATCAGGTGGGCCATCGGGGCAACCAATGCCCACAACTTGTCCAAAGCCAACCCTTGAAGCTTGCGACTACAAAAGCGCTGTTTTGTCAGGTCCTTTGTTCGGGTGAGCTATTGGAGGGGGGGAGGGGGAAAGAGGAGAACAACATGCCCCGTTGAGCATGCCCCAGAAAAAGAAAAAAGAAAAAAACACAAAAGTGCATCATCCTGCGAGAAAACCGGCTTGACCAACCGTTTCCAAAAGCCGCTTGATGTTTGCTAGGCTGGCACACGGCTTGGGTGTCCACTTGTTCAGGGCAATAGTGCCAGTTTCTCAGTTGTCCAAAGTGAATCTACCTGAAATGATCTTTTGGTTGTCCCATTTTGGTCCATGTCTAGGTCCCAGAAGCTCAACCTTGTGTTTCCCTCACTCCCTGAATTCCTGGACTTGCGTCACTTGAGTTTGGACCAATTCAATGACATAAGATTTGCTTACTATTTTTTGGGCCATCCTCTCAGGAAGTGAGGCTCAACTTTCTCACTTGCCCAAAGCGAATCGACCTTTGAATCGTTCATCTTTTCTTGTTGCCATTTGTAGTGACTCCAAAAGGTGATCACCGTTTATTCCGTCCAAACTGGGCAACTGGACCGGTGGTCTTCCTTTGGTTTCCCTTTAAAGAAAGGGGTTTCCCTTTAAACGAAGAGGTTTCCCTTTCAACAAAGGGGTTCCCCTTTAAACCCCTGGTGGTTTTCCATGGTAAAAAGAATAAAAAAAGGTAAACCCCTGGTCTGGTGGTTTTCCATGGTTAACAAAAAACACACAAAAAAAACCTTAACCCCTGGTGGTTTTCCATGGTTAAACAATACACACACAAAAACCTTTAAACCACTGGTGGTTTTATCCATGGAGAAAAAAAAACGGGTTTTCACCCGCAGCCTGAACAAAACCCAAGAGCGTAGGGCCGGGCGAAGCCCGCGGCCTCGAGCTCCAGCCGCAAGTTCGGGCTGATCACGCGCAAGGACCTGCCACTCGGCGATCACGGGAAGACCGAGGGGTCGGGTTGGAGTTTTTAGGTCCCCCAGCGGTCGGTTGCCCTTTTACCAACTTTGGGTTGGGAGGGTTCCCCTATACTGAAGTAGGCTACAGGAAAAAAGGGTAGCCTTGTTGAAACCTCTCTACTGGAGGACCTAGGTTTGTATGGCGTCGAACTGGTTTCCTTGTGGTTTCCCTTTAAAACCACCGAACAATTGCCCGTTTCCCCTGAAAACCACTCACTTTGCTGAGTCCCTGGACTTTGTACTTTTTGGGTTTGGACCGTTCGGTAAATCAAAAGTTGGGTTACTTGTTTGACCAATCCCTTCCCTTCACAAGGGGGGTCATGGACTTGGACTTGCTTGCCAGCACTTAATTCGTATTAAGGCTGTATTGATTTGCAAATTTGAGCCCCCCCCCCCTTCCAAGAAAGTGGACAGTAAAGCAGCCCCCAAAGCAGTCACATTAGCATTAAACAGGATCAGGGCCTCTTGTGCGCAACCACCTTTGCGTGACCGTTTGCCCTTGTTTTTGTTTTTGAAAAGCAGTTATCTCAAAATCAATGATTTGGGGACTACCTCCCACAAGAAAATTATTTTGTTTGCCAGGAATTTGTTTGCCTGACGCTGTTTGGCCCGCTTTCTGCCCGATTGTTTTTCCGTAAGCAACTTGCCATGAACGCGGACCCCCAAACAGTGACAGGAGGCCCCAATCAACAAAGAGGCTCCAACATCACAGGTTGAGGGGGGTTGCTTTTGAAATTCAGCTGCCCTGGACCCATTCTTTCCAGGGATCCTTCTTCCACCTCCGGAAACCCAGGGAAAAGGGCTGTGTTTTGAAAAGAACGATGGTTGAAAAGAATGGGGAATCAACCCCTACGAAAGTGGCTGCTTTCCTTTTGTGCCGCTGGTCCATATCGAGAAATCTCCAACTTGGTCAAAGATTGGTACCATTCATCTTTGCCCCATGATGCTAGAACAGATGAGGGTTGAATTTGACCGCGCAAGCCCAAAGGTGATCACCAGGTTCCAGGCTCAGTTGAGTGAGGCTCTTTTTTGAGAACTCTTTTTGCAGTTCTTTCTTGATTCCAGGCTTGCTTTGTTCCCAACAGTCTAGCAAACACAAGTACCAGACCCAAACTTTACCAAACCTATTGCCCTTGTGCCAGGGACTTACCAATTTCAATGTCAAATTGTATTTTTCGAATGACCCACTTGACTCTCTAGTCCAAAGTCGACCCCTTTGGCCCCTTTTTTTCCCCCTCCTTGGTTTACCCTCCCCGGGACCAACATGGAAGCTCCCAGGACCTCGTTGGAAGACTTGGTTCCGTCAGCGGCCTTCTGGGAGCTTCCATAGTCGACCCTTTGGCCGTTTCTTTTCCCTCCCACCCCCTCTTTGATTTACGAAAAAAAAAAAAAAAACGCCTTGGCTTTTTTTTAGCAGGTGGTCACCATCGCCTTTGTTTCCTTGGCCGGCGCAAACCGGCGGCTCCCAACTCGGCGATCGAGGCGGCGCGTGGGGCTCCTGGGCTGCGGCGGCTTCGGGGCCGTGGAGCTGGTGGAGCACGGCGGCGACACCTATGCCCTGAAGGCGAGTGATTCGTCGACCCGAAGAACGGTGGGGATCAGACACACTGAGAAGAAAGAAGTGCAAAGCGTTGCTGTATTATATATATATATACATGTATATTTATAGGTCCATATATGTATGTGTATATGTATATGTATCTACAAAAGTATATATGTATATGTGTATATATGTATATATGTATATATGTTTAAGTGTATATATGTATACATGTATATATGTATGCATGTATATGTGTGTGTGAAAAACAAGAACAAGACAATCAATCAGAGAGAGAGAGAGAGAGAGATAGAGAGAGAAACATTTGTCATTGTCTATGTAGAACATCCTTTCAGCAAAGAACTCGGCTGGGCACAATGGGTGTCATGATAGTGGCAGAGGGAGCCTCATCAGCCAGAAATGGGTGTGCGTGTTAGTTGTTAAGCTCAATCTTGGGCCCGGGTCCCAAAAGACCGTAACACGTGTGGGTTGCGACATTTGTTGAAGCGGGCCCTTTAAGGGGCGTATCGCCGTTCTTGCCAGGGATCCTTTCGTTTGGAGCCCGAACTTCCTCAACAAGGTGCAAGCAACAAACATGTAAAAAAGACCCTGGTTGAACCGAAAAGGTGCATACATGTAAAAACAGGTGCAGCAATGTAATTAAAAAGGTGAATTCGGGTTGCTCTCAGCCAAGAACACTGACCAATCCAGAAAAGTAGAAGCCGACCCTTTGATTTTCTTGCTGGCCAACTGTCTACCCTTACATGGCGCATTTGCGCTAGGCGCTGAGCAAAGGCTACATCATGAAGCCTGGAGCTGAGTCAGTTTCAGAAGTCAACCAGGCACCGTTTGGGCAAGCTGTGGTGAAGCAACCTTACGTGGGTTAGAAATAGATGGGTTCCACGGGTTTCGATTATTTGTGTTTTACCATTTACCAGAGAAAGCCATCTATTGCCCCACAAGGTCATGTATTCCTTTGGGAATGAGAGGTGCTTTCCATACAGCCAAGGAAATTGGTCCCTTTCGCATGGCCAGTAGTGATGGGCCTGTCTTTGGCCTGTCTTTTGTTGAGACCCCTTGTTGGTGATAAAGGGAAACAAAAAAGGAAACACTTCCTTCTTTGGGGGAAGGGAGCCCCCTCAAATCAGACACCGTCTTGGCCTATAGGAATGAAATTCGTGACATTTGGCCCATGGTCCTTTTGCTCATGTCATTCCATCCGAGGTCTGGTATGCAGCAGAATGCTCGGACGCCAAGACTTCAAGATGGCTTTTCTTCTCCCCTCTCCGTTGAGATGGCAAATTCGGAGTGTTTCACAATTTTTTGTTTTCGGGTAGGTTTCTTCGTCACCTTGGCTGCTCGTGGGCTGGAGCTGAAGCTGTAATGTCGACCCCGGAATTGAAAAAACACGTCCTATTGATAGGGGTGTGTCCTTTCCGAAAGTGATGAACCCCCCGCTAAAAGGGATATACCCAGCAACAACACTCAGCCAGGTGTTCATTTATCCAACCTGGTTTTGGCATTTGTGGCTCCAGCGAACTTTTTCGCCACGTGACCCTCCAAGCCGTTGAAGAACTTGCTGCCGGAGGGATCGTCACCCGGTGGTCCGCGCCCGGAGATTCGCAGTTTCAGCCGGTCTCCCGCCAGCTCACTCGCTGAGTTCCCACTTTAGTCACTTTTTGGCACTTTGGGAAGACCATTTCAATAATTCAGTTGTACACACAAAGTTGAGCACTTGTTGTCAATCCACTTAGAAAGTGACCCAGAGATTGTCAATCAGAAGCTGTTTCCTACGAGTCTGGCAACTGGGGTCAACTCAAACCATCACTGGGCTCTTTTTGTTCGATGTGCGCAGCTGCAGGTTTCCATTTTTGTGCGTCACTCAACCGCCGAGGAGTCTCTCCCTTTTTTGGCAGATACAAATGGCGCTTTGCTGTTCCAAGCGATGTTGGGTCTGGGTGGGGCCAAGTGCAGTGATACGTCGAGGAACTGATTCAATTTGCAAAAATGAGTCGTTTTTTGCAATTCCCCACCTTCACAGAGCAGTTTCTGCGCAACATCTGTTCCTGGAGCCCCGAAACGCCACTTTTTTTCGGTCAAAAGGCATATTTGGCTTGTTTTTGCCCGAAAGGTTGTTTTTTTCGGTCATTTGCCTTAGTTGCCCGTATTTGGCCGTATAAAACCCGTATTTTGTCGATAAAATATTGAACAAAAAGCGAAGGAAATCGTATTTGGCCGTATGACCACTTTTTTCGGGCAAAGCCTTTTGACCAAAAAAAAGCAGTGTTTTGGGGCCCCAGGTTCCTGTACGTTGTGTGGCTGCATCCCTTGCATGTCCAGCATCCCCAGCATCACTTCCATGGGAAAAATAAAAAAGATGGACCTGCAAGTGGGCCCGTGCGGGTGCTATCGCGTATTTAAGCTTTGATCATCCCTCATTCACGGCTTGGCTTCTCGTGGGTCCAGACTTGCGGGGATGTGACATGCTGCGGGTGTGTAACTTTCGGCTTGCATTTTCATGAAGCAGTGGTAGGGCTCGCTCATTTGGGAAGCATGTGTGGGATCATGGCGAACCTATCCAAACATTCCTAACATTGAGAGAAAACCAAACCACCCCAGGACAGTTGATGTTTTTTTGTTGCAGGTTTCTCCCGACCCAAGTTAGGTAACCCTTAGCTGGTGGTTTGGACTGGTTCGGACTTCGAGCCCTGGCTTGGGTTTTCTGGGAGATTCTCCGTTTCACCAAACCGCCGGGCTCCGAACCACACCTCTTGAGGGAGGCTGACCAACACTTCCAGGACCCCCAGGCTCCAGTGCCAAGGTGCTGAATGAGAAGAACGTGCAGATCATGTGCGACTCCCCGCCCCTTGGCCACGCATTGAATCTCCTGCCCGACGCCTCTAAGCACACGGACTGATTTCCCCAGTGGCAAATTCAGCTGGCTCCTAAGACGAACCGTGCACAAAGCGAGGTGATGCTCGCAGCTGAACGCCTTTTGGGAGGATCAGGAATCCACCCAGGAAGTGAGATGTATATGAAAATGGAGCGTAGTGGCAGAACCGGATTCATGGTGTGCTATTTTTCCTCGTCTGCAATTTCAATTCATCGATGTTTAGACTACTGACTCAAAATAGATTTGTTTCCTTTGAGCGGGAAAATGCTTAAAGATGGAGTCGAGTGTGTTGTATGCTTTGGACATGGAGTTTGTTTCCATACTTACTTGCGGAGCAGCAGGGCTTTGGTGGGGGCGGGGGAGGAGGGTCACTTGGCAGAATGGGACAGGGTGAGCTTATGGCCACTGGCCAACATTTGGAGTCTCAGCACCCTTTTTCTGGACGTGCGGACACTGCAAAAGGGAGGCGGTTCATTTCAGAAAGGGTGGGGTGTTCTGATGGGACACGTCAGTTCCTTTCCAAAGAAAGATGTCGTTACGAGGAACGGGTTCATCTTGCCACAGGGATGGAAAGGGGTTCGTAGCTCCCACCTCACGGAAGAGGGTTAGCCAGTGGCCCAATACAAATTCTATGGCAACGTGAGGGGAGTCAAACTTCCGGTTCAGCCCAAACAAGTTGAACTAGTTTCCGAGTTCCTATTGTCCACGAAGATGACACCGCGCCTGCTATGCCAGGGGCATGTAGGCTTTGGTGCATTTTGCTTGGATGCTAGGACTTTAAACTTTTTGCCAACAAATGGGTTTTCCATTAAGCCACTCAAAGTTAAACTTTTAGCAGAGGAGCAGACAGCAACCGAGTAGGGTTTCCTCCCGGCTCAGATTCATCATCAAGCTCTACGAGACCTACAACGGCACCCAGTCCTTGTACTTCCTGCTGGAGCCGGCGCTGGGAGGCGGGTTCGCTGTACGCCCTCGGCCGGATTTTATGAGTCTCCCTCGGGTTTATGCACAGAAGGGACCTTGGTGCTACTCGACCCTTGTTTCTTAGACGTTTTGGCACCATCGGCTTTCTCATACCTAGAAAAGGTGATCGACCTTTTGCTCAGGGAGCGAAATTTGCGGGGAATCCGGTGGGTGCTGTCTAATGATTTTCCACAAGCTGTGAAACCAGAAGGGTCGATCTGAAACCTTCCATCAGAAGCCTTCGACCAGCAGGGTGCCTTTGGTCTTCCTCTCGTGGCTGCTTGAAGCAGGCTTGTCTCGCAGATGCGCAGCTGGCTTCAGTTGGTGGCCTGAAGAGGCGCTGTTTTGCAAGGCTTTTGTGTGGTGCGCGAAAAACATTGCTGGACCTTTGACCGCCAAACGTCATCACTTTCTGCAGGGAGCCCCACTCGTTTGGCCAAGAAAGGCTTACTTGTCTGACCACTCCACGGATCCAGGACATTGTCAGGTATGGTGTTCGGAGGTATGCAGGCCTGTCATATACCACTATGATAAGCTTGTAAGGCGTCATATGCCCCCTATATATCAGTGGTACATATACCTCCATACCTCCGAAATTCATACAGCTGAGGGGCGACATCTCCCGTGAGGCGAACTCTACGCTACCTACAACAAGAAAGGCGGACGTCGTGCCGTCGGTACCGGATGCGTCCGGCAAAACAAGCTGGGGATTGAGCTAGTTATATAGGTATCGAGTTTCTTTGTTGTCTAGATGTTTTTTGTTGTTTTTCTTAAGCATTTGTTTGGTTTTGTTCAATCAAAGACCAACAGGAAACAACCTTTTTATTTGTGTTTGTGGGGGGGACACTCACACCCGTGTATTGATTTGCGTGCTGATCCAATCACTATTCTATGTTTCTTCACCCACACAACGGCCTTCGGAGGGTCCTTATATTGGACGTGCCATGTGCCATTTTGGGCTTCCGTGCCGGGGTTCGACAAGGTCGGAGGCCACTGAAATCAAAGCACCGGGCCCGTGGGACAAGGCGCAAAGGACACATCCGAAAATTAGGACGCTGTATGCATACAGCGTGGGATAATCGGAGAGATGTAAAGGAAAGGGCGGCATGCATTGCATTGTAAGATGTGGCAACGGCGGGTGCGCAGGTACAGTTACGAACGTTGGGGAGCGAGTCTAGCGTGAACAACAGCGCGTGAACGGCGGCCCCTGAGATTTCAAGTTGATTGTTTGGATCATGGTTTTTGCCTGAACGATAGCAGGCTGACACACCAGCTAGCTAGCAACACTCTCTTTGTATCGCTTGGAAGCTGTCGACGCCAAGGTCCCCATTCACTCCCCAGGTCCAGCTTGAACGGCCCTTTCTGCGGGGCCTTTGCAAGGCCGCCCTCCCCGGAAGGCAATTTAGACACTGGGACTTCACATTCATGTGCTCCTCGCTTGCCCACAGCGAAACGACCTTTTTATCTTTTGGTTTCCCTGTTTGGTCCATTTTTAGTGTCCCCCAAAAGGTGATCACCTTTCATTTGTGGGTCCAATGAGGGCAACTGAGTTACTTGTTTCTCGCCAAAGCCGCTTGGTTTGCAATGTGAGCTTTCGGTAAAGCCAAGTGCTTTGAGGCAGGGAACAGGGCCTCATTCATTGTTTAGGGATGTAGGGGCAGGTCTAGCTCTACAAAGTGACATTTTGCCAGTACCAGCTACAGGCCACCACGTCGACTGACTTTTTCTGGGCTTTTCATCAAACCTCGGGGTTGCAAGCAAGTAGGGAAACCACGCAGTTTCTGACTGAACCCTCAAGACGCGAATCATTGCGAGGCCTTTTCGGCAAGGATGGCCACGCCAAGTTCTACGTGGCAGGGGTAGTGAATGACCGCCTGGCCTGTGTTGACACCTCAGAATGACAGACCCACCCCGGATTAAGCACATCCCCTGGTATATTTTCAGAGATCGGGGCGTCCAATTTCGCTTAGCGGGAGTTGGGATCATTTTGGGGTCGGCATTGGGTTCTGCATTTGGCTTTCAATTCCAAGGGATCAACTTGATCTGGCAGATTCCATGGCACTGGGACTTCAAAAGCGCCTGTGGCGAGTTGGAAACCGACACCTCCGCTTCGAGCGGGAGCTCTCCTGTCTTGGGATCCGATTCTTACTTCTCGGGCATAGGATTTGCGAGTACTGCTCGGGGCATAAAGCCCCCAGCCGGCTTTGCAAACCCTCCTTTCCCGAAGGCGTTTCCGGGTTTTTGGCCGGGGGCCCCGGAAAGGAAGGAGCTCCAACCTCCCCCCCCCCGCCGTGTTGCTCTAAGTGTTTTGGGGGGTTTCCTTTAAGGTCGTTGGTGCAAGTCCAAAGGCAACCGTCCAACCCCCATCCGATTCGAGAGGATCTGGGGATGAGCTGCAGGAGAAAGGGTCTCCTGCCATGCACGGGGGAAAAAGAAGCCGCGGAAGGGTTTTTAAGCACTTCTCGTCTTCCATTTGCTTAAGAATATGTGTTATTTTCCCCTGTTGGTTTTAAGGGGAATCTATCACTACTGGAAATATGTGTTCTTTTTATCTTTTCCAGGGGTCTGAACCAAATGGAAGTCGTACATACGGAAGGATCAGGAAGGCAAAAGACGGTCCGCAGAACTTCATACCCTTCCCTTCGCAGCACCGGAGCCCTGTGGTTCGTGGTTCACGCGTCTGAGGAGTTCTTTCGCTCTGAAAGGTCCACTGTGGATGACAACATCATGCACCAGTTGGGCTGGGCGAAGCCCTAAGAATGGACAAGCCACCTATCAACTGGTGCGAAGCGAGTTTGTCCATGCACGGTCTTTGCTGTGACCTTTTGAAGCAACATGTTTTTCCATTAAACCTAGAATAGGTGATCGACCTTTGGCTGAGTGGGTAGGAGGAACCCATGCAGAAAAGGCATGGTCAAACATTGGCCGCTATGTGCCACCCCTGCCGCCACGTGCCTTCAAGCCCTGCTGCTTGCTCAAGAAGTTTGGCGATGTTTTGTGGTTCCAAAAAAGTTCACATCACACCTGTTCTTTCCAGGTCGAGCCCCCCACCCCCACGACGAAACACAAAACCCCGCAAGAATAACAAAGATTGCACCCCAAACAATGGCACGCGGCCCATATGTCACACGTGCCAGGCTTTCCAGCATCTGCACAGCAAGAAGATCATCTTCCGAGACCTCAAGCCGGAGAACCTCCTGCTCACCGAGTCTTCGCCTCGGATCCGAAAAAAAGACTCGGAGGTTTCGGGGAGCTTGCGGAGGTGTCAGGGGTCCAAAAGGCAAAAAACAAAGGCCAAGGACAAACGAGCAAACCACACCCACAACAGCTACTATGCAACAGGCAGGGTTCCAGAGCTCCATGCGACCGAGGCTATGTGAGCGCTCAGGGCCTTTCACCTCGATCAGGCAATACACATGGGTGCTTGTTGTTGTTTTGGAGGGGGAGCCCCCAACAATTGTGGTTTTCCTTGTGTTCCTTTAAAGCGTACCCTCAAACAAAGACACACCCGCATTTAATTTGGCACAAGGTACCCTTAGTTCAATCAATGCATGTTCTACTTTGCCAGGCCCCAAATTTCTACCTGTACCAATGGGGTTGGAGCAACCACATATGAACCGACACGGAGTGCCGCATGATGTGGGCTCCGAATTCAAGTACCGGAGCCTTGCGGAAAATCGCTGGCGGTTCAAAGTTAAAGGCGAAGGACGGCTTGGAAGATATCATTTCTGGTTGGGATCCCGACATGAACCAGTCAAAGGTGTGCTTGTTTTCCAATGGTACGTGTATGATTTGCGACATTCGGCGCAAGTTTTGGGATAGAAGCGGCATGAATACCTTGAACCATATAACTAGTTCAAAATTGTGTCTATCTGTGTGCCACCTTGATGGAACTGTCTCAAGGGTCTGTCTGTTTTTGGCGTGGGGGACCCCCTAAAATTGCAGTTGTCCTTCGGTTTCCTTTTACAAAAACACGAATCGGGTACCCTCAACAAGAAACACACCCAAGAAAGCAAGCCCGCAGACAGAGGGCGGCTTTCTGGCTTCCTGTTGGTTAGCCCCAAGAAGCGACGCGCCCTTGCACGTGCGGAGTCGGCATGGAAACCAAGGCCCCGCGTCAAGGGGTTCCTTTCTTTGGGGGAACCTCTCACTTCAATTGCCTCACTTGAGCTCATGGACCTGAGTCACTTCTTGGGCAACCATTTTGGTTCCTGTTTTTGGGCCATTGACTTGCCGAGTGAGAGGCACTGAGCGCTTAAGGCCTGAAGAGCCTTGGATCTGGCTGGGATCATAAGGGAAGAAGGTACCTCCAGCCAGGCATCTAGGGGGATATCTAGTAGCCTCAGGTTCCTGAAAGAACAAACCTAGCTGGCTGGTCGTCCTTTTTTGGCTCGGGATTTGAAGCCTTGGGTTCTTGTGGGTATTTGGCTCCAAAAATATAGGGGAAGCTGGCACTGGGTTTCCCGGCGAGTTGGACTCAGGCTGGGCCACATCAAGCTGACGGACATGGGCTTGGCCAAGGTGGTGGTGGGAAAGCGCCCCGTTTTGGTTTCGGCGACTTCGGGGACTTCGGGGCCTTCGGTGCTCAGTTGCCCAAAGCGAATTGAATCGACCGGATCTGACCTTTTGGCGTTTTTTCTTGTTGGTCTAGTTTTAGTCATGGCCCCAAAAGGTGATCACCTTTTATTTCTGGGTTCTTTGGGCAAGTGAGATTGGGTTGGATCTTTAGACACTAACTTTTGGGTTGAAATCAAGTTGGGTTTTCCACTAAACCCACAACAGTTATCAACTTTTTGCAGTGGGGTCGTTGCAGCAACCAAGTGTTTTGGAAATGGTTGGATGCTGTCATCCGTTATGGTTCCGTAGGCCACCTGCAAGAAGCTAAACACTTTTGCTGGCTGAAGAGAACATGAAGGAACACAACACTTGCTGGTGCAATAAGTAGGGAGTGTGGAAATGAACCCAGACTTTGGTCCCCTTACAGGAAACCGCAGGGGATGGTTTATAAGGGTCATTCCCTCACTCCCTGCCAACAAGTTGTGTTGGCTTCATGCTCACTTGCCCAAAGTAATCGACCTGATATGCCCTTTTCGGTTTCCCATGTTTGGCGACCATTTTTTTGTGGCCTCGAAAGGCTGACAACCGTTCTTTCTGGGTCCAAACTAGGCAACACAGGTGCTGGGACGGAATCCAGGGGCCCCCACTCGCTTCTCCAGTGGATAGTCACACCCAGAGTCCGTCAGACCCTGCTTGCCCTTCCGGGGCTGAACATCAACGGGCGCCTCCGTTTTCCGTCGTCTGAAGTTCGCTTCTACAACGGGCTCACCCAGCAAGATTCCTGCCGGGTTTGCTGTGGAAGAGGCTTGCCCAAGGCCAAAAACCGGACTCAACTTGGCTGCTTGTATTACTATGTTGCTTTCAATGTGCATATTTCAGGGAGTTACCCTTCCTCCCACTATCATGGCACCTGCGCGAGGCTACCTAGAAGATCAGTTTCCTCTTGGAGGGACCCCCCGTCAGGTGCCATGTTAGACAGGGTACTCTTAATGTCAACTTCAGATTCGCCGGGATGGAAATGGACATCAGGGGTCGTTCGCCTGCAAGCGGATATTGATTCACTTTAAGGGGTCTGGCCAGACAAACAGGGTCCAGTTTACGGTACCCTGAACGCAAACGTCGTTTGGACATCCTGGTGTTCACCACTTGTTCGATTGTTTGCCTCAAAAGGGGGCCTATGTCAGAGACCAATGGTTTTGAGCAGTCACCAGGACTTGCAGTGGGAAATAGCCGAGCTGCCCACATGCGTACCGAGTGGAGCGCAAACTTGTCCACCGAAGAAGGCGCTGAAGCTGAAAGAACCGCCTGCTCCGGGAGCTGTGCTTTGACATGTTGCAATGCTTAAAGGCTTAAAGGCTTAAAGGTAGTGAAGGGGGTGGCGTTTCCAGGCCTCAAACAGATGGTAAAGAGGAAGGTGGCATCACAGAACACATTGACATGTTTCTTTAAGCAAAAAGGAGAACAATATGTTTTCGCCGTTGGGCATCTTGAAGGAGCCGCTGCCAGATTGGTTTGGATTGTGAAAGGTAGATGATAAACTACCCCACACCTCCCAAGCACCAGGCTCCAAACCACCAGTTAGAGACCAGCCGAAATTGAGTGGTATTTGCACTTCTGCCTTTCTTGCCTCCGTTTGGAATTTCTTTGAACCCCCTAAACCGCCGCCACGTGCCTTCCGTGCCTTGCGGCTCTGTCGCCTGGGCCTAGGACCTACACGACCTGCGGCACCCCGGACTACTTTGCTCCGGAGATGATCGCCTCGGCAGGGCACACCTTGGCAGTGGATTGGCGCCTCGGATTCGGAGTCGGCGCCTCACCTGGGTTTTCCTTTGAAAAATGACACAAAACTGCAACTTCCCTCTAGTTGGTGGTTGGCTTGGTACGGGTGGTTTGGACGACGTTACGGGATACCTTTCCCATTCAATGATCTGGTTTCAACAGTCACTTGGGTTCAAATCCCCAAACCACCGGTTATCTGAAAACTAGTGGTTTTCCTGTGATCTCCTTGTAGGACCCCAACAAATAGGCACCTGTGCAACCTTCCGGAAATGAAAAGGAGATCTCCAAGGGTCCTAGCGGTACCTTGCAACCATTCTTGGGGCTTCTTTCCAAAAAACCTCCAGAAAGCCACAGAAAACGGCCGGTGCTCGAAAGGAATGACGGTGGAAACGACTTTTTGGGGGCTCAACCCCTAGAACCCACTGGGTTCATGAAAATCGAAGCCAGCTACTGGTAACCAGTGGAGTTTTTTTGCATTTGACTGTTTACCCAAACTGGCGAAAAAACAAATGGATGGGGAATCAACACCTAGAAGGCCGAGGGCATCTCCAGACTTGGGGAAGGTTTGGCCAAGCCTCCTCGGGAGGTGCAGACAATTGGCAGTGCGTCTTTGTTTGAGGGTATGTCTTTTTCAGGGAAGCCCCCTGCCCAGATGCTTGTGGTCCTTGGGTTTCCATTTCAATCCACCGAAGGGGGGGGGTACTCTCAAGAAAAAGACATACCCAAGTCATTCCTGCTGGGCTTGTCCTTCCATCAAGAAGAACTGTTTTTTCTGTTGGCAAGATGTTGTTTAAGAAGCAAGGTTCGTTGGCAAGACTAGAAGCATAGTTGCTCGGGCTCCTCGTTTTCTATTGTAGAAATCTTGGCGTCAGCTCTGGTTTTGTCTTTCGCGCAAGGCGCGGGCCCCATGGATGTTCAACCCACTGAGGCCCTTCCACCAGTTTGCAGACTCAAGTGAGGTCTCACCGCATAATTCTACGGTAACCTGGAAGTATGAACGCTTCTTTTGGTCGCCCGTCCGTGTTGATGTATGGTGGGTTTTCAGAGCAACAACAACACGTTTTTGCTAACGTACCTGGGTTGGGAACTAGTAGTTCAAGCATCGCAGTAGGGCCTTCCTCAAAGGTTGGAGCCTTTAAGGATTGCTTCTGTTCGTGAAGCCCAAGCAAGAAAAGTGGTTTGGGACATGTTACTATCAAGGATGGACTAGCCTGCTTACGTTGTAAGGCTCTTTGTTTCTGTTTAAACTCCTTGCCACACACACAGCAACTGTGGGAGGGTACCTGCAAGTTTGTCATGGATTTTGTGTCAGGTGCCATGTTAGTGGGTACATGTTGTGATTGTCCAGAGTTTGCGGAGGATTGGGGGTTCCGTGCGCAACCGCCCCAGGGTTTTCTCAGTGACAGTGGTCTTAGCCAGGGTGTGAGGCGCTTTTGAGGCGGGGTTGTCCGGGCAAATGTTAGGCAGAAAGCCGGGGTTGGGGATACTTCTTGGGCTGATTTGTGTAGACCCCAGAGCTTCCTCACGTTGGCATGCTAGCAAAACACAACCCGAGAGAGAAGGAGTTTTTTGTTCTGTGGAAGACCACAAAGGCCACGCAGTTCCAAACTTCACTCAACCAACCCTTCGTATTCATATCCCAGACAAATACGTACAACTTCACGTGATGTGTCCATGTGTGCACAGTTTTGTGGATACTTGTGTTTCATGCTGCACGCGCTGAATTGGCTCATGATACGCATTTTGACTTTTCTTCGTGCCATACGAGGTGGACAGTCGGCCGGGGGCCCGAATGCCTGAAGCCTTCACATTCGGGAGGTCCCCTTACGCTTCGGATTCGGCAGCACGGGGCTCTTTACGGCTATGTGGACCTTTGGACTTCAACTTTTTGGTTGAAACAGTGGGCTTTGCATTGGACCCACACAAAGTTATTCACTTTTGGCAGGGGGGTCAACAGCAACCAAGGGCTTTTGCCAGTGGCAAGGGTGGCTCTTTGACCATTCCCCGCTAGCTCAGTACTTTCTCGGGCCCAGAAAGTAGTAAGCACTTGAAAGTTGCCCCCCACGTGGCGTTGATTTTCCCTTCACTTGCAAGGTGTCTTCTCAAAGGTCAAACCTGCTTGTGTGACAGATGCTTCCAAACGATCATACGCATGATTGTCCTCGCAAGCCATCGGGACCCAGCTTACTGTAACGCAAGAAACCTCCGGATCAACCAAATCCAAGAGGGTATCGTTCGGACTATGCCAAGCGATTGAACCGATTTAGGGGGTACAACAACCTCATGATGTGTCTTTCTATAACTTGGAAATTCCAAACTTCTTGATTTGGAATTCTTGCATTTGTCGAAATAGGGGTTTTGGCCCTGGTTTGGTTTGCCCTGTTGGTTTCCTTTGAAGGTGCTCCGCCCCTTTGAAGTTCCATGGTAAGGAGAGAAAATCCCCTGCACAGGGCTCCTAATATTTTTCCCTGGAACATCATACCGGGAAACTCAGCCATTGGTCCGAACCGGCTTCTTTTTCCACAAACTGCTCGGAAAGGACAAATGGGTGTGTCTTGTTTAGGGGACCCCTCCAAAATGGTGGGTTTCCTTTCATTTCTTATTGAAAGAAAATCAAAAGAGGCTTTCCCCCCAAACAAAACAGACTCATATTGTAGGAGCCCCAGTTGCAACCAGTGAGGGAAGGAGTCGGAGGTTCCGTTCCCGAAACCCAAGGCAAGCCATTGCTAGCCCAAAAAACGACGCCCCCATTGAGTTGATTGAACCGTTGCAACCGGTGACCCAAATCGAATATTAGGGGTGTCTCAAAAAAAAGCGGTTCTAAAGAAGTATGTTTTTCCCTTTGGTTTCTCTTTGGGGTTCCCGAAAGACAGACACACCCATTTAAAGAAACCTTTTGGGGATTGAGCAATTTCAGTGGAAACCCGGCCAACCAGGGATTTCGAGGGTCTCACTTCCTGAGTTCCAGAACTTTGAACCTTTGGGAAGACCGTTTTGGTGGTAAGCAAGAAGCTCGGACTTTGGCTTTTGCCAATCCGCTGAGGAAGTGAATCGTTAGGACCCATTCAGTGTCACCATTCTTTTGCGCCGCCTTGGGTTCTGAAGGAGTTTTCCTACCTGCCATTCTGCGCCCTCTAACTCCCTTGTTGTTTGCGCCCACCCAGCCATGCCCAAACATGGGAACACTGAACCTATGAGCAACCCGAAAGAATGCAGCAAAGAAGACATACCAAAAGGTGATCGACCTCTTTCTCTTCCGCGGGCGCTTGGAGCAACCTGAAAGGGACCCCCCTTGCGGTGATTTTCCAGTGGTGATTCTGGATTGAGATTCTAGCTGGTGGTCAGGGAGCCAAGGAAAGAGGTGAGAGATGGCTAGGAACATCTGGAGAGAACCAAATGGGCCGAGTGTGGGGTCATTTCCGAGGTGTTTCGCTTGAGTCGTGTGCCCCCTTCTTTTCCGGGTTGTGGGCCTTCTTTCTTTTTGGGGTGTTTCGGGGTGTCTTTTTGCCTTTGGGGCAGTTCACACACCGGATACTGATTCCAGCTACGGCGTGGGCACTTGCATGTCCGCGACATGCGGACCTCAGGGAGCTAAGGAGCTGCCCGGAGTTCTTTTCTTGCACATGGCACAAAACCGCCAAGATCCCTTTTCCTTAAGCCTTAGCCAGCTATTTTCCTTTTGGTTTCAGGGTGTTTCCCTGAGTTTCCAGGTAAATATCTGGATCTCAGAGGCCGGGTGTTTGGACCGGGTCAGCTTCCGAGCAAAGCCGAGGCGTGTTGACCTTCGAACTCATGGCCGGGCACCCGCCCTTCGAGCCACTCGGAAGAGAAGTCCCGAAACTCCGGGGGACGTTGCGCAGGTTCTTAAGTCGGAGACGATGTGCGCGGCTCGCCGATTTCCAGGGCTTCCTTTTTTTTTTGCATATCCACGTGCGGCGAGCAAAACCGGATCTGTTTTTGTTTTTTGAGGTAAATCCACGTGAGGATAGTAGGGTCAAACAACATGGTTATGAATGAGGCAGGAGGGACCTGCCTGGGCCGACCTGAGCAACTCAACTTAGCAAAGAAACGCTTGCCCAAAACCAATCAACCTTTTTGGCCTTTTTTTTTTTACCCGGAGGTCCGTCGAATCAAGGTTTTCCGGAGAGCATGACGTGCTGTTTCCAGGTCCTTTGGAAGGGTAAGCCCTTTTCAGGCAATGGGTAATGTTGACCTTTGCAGGGTTCTTGTTTTTGACAACCCCAATGTGGACAACCCAGGGATGGTTGATTTCCTCAAGCGAAACCCCGAGTTTGAGTCCACCAAACGGAGTCCAAAAACGGAAGCCTGGACCTTTGAGTAGTACACCCCCTTCTAAAGACTGCCCTCAAACCACCGCGCTGGATGAGGACTGTCCCCATGGGCCCCCCGAAAATCCCCACAGATGAACATGACACGCATTCACAACTCGAAGGCCATTGCCAATACTTCTACCAACACTATTTATTCATAGTTCTTAAGGGTTGCTTTCCCCAGATCCAAATTGCCAGCTCGCCGGAAAGGGCAACTTGATGCAACTTGCGGATTCTGACATGAAACAAATAAGGTTTGACAAGCTCATAGAGGGAACCCTCCCGCAAGGCCAGTGCCCGCTAATATTACCCGCCCTTGAGAATTCCAGCACCCGCCTGGCCTGGGATAAAAGAAACCTAGGTTTCTTTCACTTGCCTGACAGGAGGACTGAAGGACCCTCCAAAAAACAGTGTGTGTGCGTGTGTGCGTTTTTTCTGGACGACCTTGCGGGGAGGGGAGGCGGGGGGTTTAATCAGCGGTGATACATATCAGAACGAGCGTAGGTGTGTCTTTCCCTAGGGCGACCCCCCCAAAGTTGTGGCTTTCTTGCGGTGCCCCAAGAAAAGCCAGGAAAGCAAATGGGTGCTTTCCCGAAGAAGAACCACAAAAACACCCCAAGAAAGCACACAGACGTCTTTTTTCTCCTGTACGTTTTGGTTGCTGCGAATCACGCTGAGGTCGGCGCACCCCATGCAGATCTACCAGAAGGACAGCAGTTTCCCGGGCAAGTCAAGTCGGGCGTGGCGAGGGGAAGCCTCCCAACATGGCGTCGGTTTGAGCCACGTCCTCGAAACCCGTGGCCCTTCTTAGCGGTTTTGGCCTTGGCGGAAGCATTTCCAAAAACTTCGCAGAGGGTGGCTTTACCACCAAGAGCCCCTTTGAGAGCAACGCCTTTTCCAAGATATTAGTATACTATAAAGGTTAGTAAGGGCCAGTCCCAGCCAGAAATAGTTGCGGAATTCCGGCTTCTTAATTCTTGAAGCATGGTTCTAGACCATTGTACTACCAGGTGTTGATTATGACTCATTTGGCTTCCCTTTAAGAACCGGTCGTCCTTTAAAAACAGGGTGCCCTCGGAAACGACCCACCCAGATAGTGGTCCCTATAAGATGGTTGGTTTCATTTTGGTTGTCACTTTAAGCACCAACCAAACAGGAACCAAACTTGCCACTGTTCAGTCTTGCTGGAATTCTAAACTGAAGGCAGAACTTGTAGAGCCAGGGATGTTGCGCGGCCAGTTGAGAGTGCTGAGTGCCAATAAGAAAGAGTGTCCTTTTGGAGGATGTTCTGCATGTCCCCTTACTGTTGAACATGGACGATTACTCATATGTTTGGGCCATCTGTCGTTGTCAAGGGTGTTGAGAGCTTTGCTTTGGTTGCTCCATTCGCGGCGCTGAATCTGCAAGACTCGGACTCTGGGGCACTTTTTGGGGGATGCCGGCTGCCTTGATCCGCGCAGACTGGCAGGTGAACAAGGGCATTGGCAAAGTGAACTTCCCGCCGAAGTGCAAAGGCGTGGTGGAGGACCTTCGGACCCATCACCAGTTGCGGGAGGTCGGGCTTGATCAGTGGAATGCCTAGTCTGGTTTGACTTTCTCTTTAGTGGTTTGAAGGCTCCTGAGTCGGAAACACCCGCTTTCCCTTAAGGTCGGATGGGGTGTGGCTGTCCATGGAAACACCATGGACAGCCCCCCCCCAAAAAAATAAAACGACATCAACCAACAGGGTTTGCTTCATCCGGGTTTCCGTTGGAAGGGACCTCGTGAAAACAACGGGCCTAAGTTTTCGGCTGGATCGCACCTGGCAGACCGGCAGGGTGCAAGAGGAAGATGCGTAAGACTGCTTGGAGTTGGTAATGTTAACCCCGGATTAATAAACCCCTGGTTGATTAATAGGGGGGTGTCCCCTTTTAGTGGGGATTCATCACTTTGGGAGGGAACACCCCCCCTAATAGTGGGACCGGTTTATTAATCCTGGGTCAACATGATTCATCTTTTTGCGTCTTCTTTTTGTGTTCACTGTTTGAGCTCCCGGACTTCATACTTTGGTTTAGACCACTGTGCTGGCAACACAGTTTTGACTCGTGGTTTCAAAGGGAAAGCAAAGCAAAGCAAAGCAACCCACGCATGATGTTCCCACACACCACCCCAAACACACACGATCACAGTGATAGTCGATTGGAGTCTGGTGTTTGTGTTTGGTGGGTTATATGTGTGGTTGGGGGTCAAAGAAGGTGTTGAAGCTTTTTCGTCCGAGTGGTGCAAGATTCGCCACGGTGCTTGCATTCGCAGCTTTATCGGTTTGAATACAGCTTCTCCTGAACAGGAAAAGCTCACTACAAGAATCATTCAGGGCAACCCGTGCGCGGAATCCTGCAAGTATGCAAACTCGTCGTTTAGTTGCCGACATCTGTTGCAACTGCTGAAACATCATGCCGCGATCAAAAAACAGAATGGAAAAGCATGATATTCTGCTTATAAACCGCTTATGCATAAAGCCCCTGGTTGATCCGGGGCCCCTAACGAGAGGGTATTATCAATCTAAAAAAAGAGCCACGAATGTTCCCGCAACAGCCCTGAAATTCCGCGCGTTTTCGCAGCCCCGAAATGAAGTCAGTGCTCCTTTCAAGCTGGACTCATGGTCAGTTAGGGTCACGGTGTCTACGAAAAGAGGACTAACAAGGAACCAAAAGAGATTAGACAACGATCCAAACATAATTCGGGAGGCTGGATATTTTGTGTGATCGAAATGATTTCAGCTCGCAATCTGCAACGAGCGATTGTTGGCCCTTTGAACGGTTCCTTGCCCTTAAATCCACCTGATTCCCAGCATGATTTCTCAAGTTTAGTTTATGAATTCGAGTATTGCCAACTCGGAGCGGCTGCAAAAGAAATACGCGTTGCTTTCCCATTTCCAGAAGCCCAAGCCCAGAGGATTCCCTTAGGATTTTTTCTTTGGGATCACCTGAAAAACCTTTTGCCTAGGGAACAGGGACCCATTGCTTTCCCCGGCCAAGACGCATTCAACTTGTTTCAACCATGGTGGCTGATCACAAAGCCACGAAAGGTTTCAATGGTGGAGTTCCCACAGATTTTTCCAGAAAGGCCCTGCTAAGCTCCGGCAAAGGGGGGGGGTTTGGGGTACCACTTTGGGAGGGTGCAGGCAGTGTTGACCCGTCAGGCCTTCGCCCGTTTCGAGCGTGTGCTTCCCAGGACCTGGTCAAGAACTTGTGCAAGAAGGACTCCCTACCCAGCCGTTTCGCCCTAGATGTAAGACGCGATCAGTTTAAACACGATAGAATCATACACCCATTGCGATCCTTTTGAGACACACCCATTTGTTGCATCCTTTTTGGGCCCGGGTGGGCACAAAGCACAAAACAAACTGTTGGTTGCCATGTTGGGTTGAGTTGCCGATTGGGTGTTGTGAGGGGACCGGGCTGGTCCACAAGTTTCTGGGATTCGGGATGCGCCACTGACAAGCCAGCACGCAAGGGGAGTGGGAAGGTGATGCCCTAGACATGAAACCAACAGGGGTTGTGTAAGTCTGGTGGAAGCCCAGATCCATCCAAACCACCATTTTTGGAACTGCTGGCTTTTCTAAATGGTGAATGGTTTGTATGGAAACCTTTCTCAGGTCGCTCTACTTTTCCTCATCAAAAACGGCTTCACACACGCTCCTCCCGAGCACATGCCATCCGGCACCTGCTCGCTTCAGCTTCTTCGGCTCTTATCGCCTACTCAGCTCCAAAACACTGCTCAAGCCGCCACATCTCCATTCAGGCAGAACCGGCACGTGTCGTACTCCTCGTACCCGATGCCTTCTCTGCCCGCGCACATCATCACCGAGTGGTAGTGTCCGTTCCGCCCGATGTACAAACCTCCAACTGTGCTTCCCAGCAAACGCCTGAAGTCCGGCGTCATGCACCTGGGACACGGCAACGACTCCCGCACCCTTGTGGCCAGTCGAAGCCCGTAGCAGTTCTCCCGCAGATGGTACTTCTCTCCGCGATCAGTGTAGAACACCGACGGCTCCACCGGGATCTCATCCTCCTCCGGCTCCGGCTCTGGGTCCCTTCGCCTCGTCGCCGTCGGCCTTGCTGGGTGGGGCGCTCTTTTGCCCTTCCCCTTTCCTTTTGGTGCATATCTCCCTGGGTTCCATTTCGCTGTAGGAGCGACGAACCCTCTGCTCTCTTCTGTGCCTCCTCCGGTAGTAGACGAACTTCCCGCTGCTCGTTCCCCAGCGGACCACCCTTCCGATGGCTCTCCTCCTCCGGTAGTAGACGAACTTCCCGATGCCTCCGCCCCTCCGGGAGTCGGCAATCTTCCTGACGCCTCTCCTCCTCCGGTAGTAGACGACCTTCCCGATGCCTCTCCACCTCCGGATCTCGTTGGGCCTTCTTCTGGAGCATCAGCCTGCTCTTCTCTCACCCTCCTTGACAGGGAATCCACCTCCCGTTCTCCCCCAGCGCGAAGAACCCTCACCACCGGTAGAGCTCGGCTACAAGCGGCTCCACACTTCTCCACGATCTTCATTGCGATCACCGTGAACACCGCCACCATGATCCCGAACCGAATCAACGCCTCATCTTCCTCCTTGCCAACCTTCTCATCCTCCATCGCTGAGGTGCCCTGCACTTGCAAGCAGCAAGCTATCACCGCCAGCGCCTGCTTATACTTCTCGATCTCCGCCAGGTCGAGCTTCACCTCGTTGATGCGATTCACCTTCGTCTGTGGCTCAGCCATCATTCCCGCTTTCTTCTTCAGGTCCTTTAGCTTCGGACCTGCCAGGGCCTTCGTTCCCATGTCCGCGATGAGCTCACTTCCTGCTTTGTGGGCGATCCTCCAATCTCCTTGTTGAATTCGCCAACGGACATGGAACGCCCTCAGACGCAAGTGCCGCGTCCTCCAACTTCCAGCTTCTTCCGAGCACAGCGCGATCGCTGCTTGGTTGTCTCCCTGCAGCGACCTCATGTAGCCGTCCTCCTCCAGCTCGCTGATCATGGCGTCCACACTGTCGCCCACGATCATTCCTTCGATCATCTCCATCAACTCACACTCCGCCGTAGACAGCGCCGGGAAACTCTGCTTTGACGATCGCCACGCCACCACAGAGCCCATCCATTTCACCATCACACAGCCATGGCTAAGACCTCCACCTGGCGCAAAACTTGCGTCCGTCGCCACCTCCAAACCAGCTCCCACTCTGCCATTCAGGTCAATGCCGGTGTCCACGCTGAAGAGTAGACCTTCTTCCTTCGTGCCATTCAGGTACTTCAGCGCCTGCTCCCCCACTTGGACCACCCATCTTGGAGTTTTTGCCACCTGGGATGCCATCTTCGCCACGGTGTACGCGAGGTCCGCTCGGCACCTGGTGACCAGCCACATCAACTCTCCCACAATTCGTTGCGCGGCCTGCACCTCTTCCGCGGTGATGTCCTCCTCCGGTCCCGGGTCACTGACATCTCTGCTCATGGGGGTTGACGCCACTCCCTTGACCCCATTGCGGTCCAACACATCTTGGATGTAGTCCTCCTGGGTGACCAAATACCCCTCGTCCAGGGCTTTGACGCTCACCCCACAGAACCTCACCGCTTTCTCCTGTTGAAACCACTCTGGCTCCGACGTCTCCCATTCTCTCCTCACTTGATCGAACACCGCCGTCACGGTCTCCTCCGGTCCCAGCACCATCATATCGTCCACATACACGACAATGATGCCAACCGTCTCCTCCTTCTCTCCTTCTATCTTTGCTTCCACTTTGACCAGCCACATATTTGGCTCGCTCATCATCTGCTCGAGTTTGACCGGTTGGCCACCGCTGTGAAACCTCCAGCTCCTCATCTTCGTGTCCCGGTAAGTGGCCCAACATCTCGGACTCTGGCGTAGTCCATACAAAGCCCGATTGACCACCCACAGCTCGCCTGGCCCGATCAATCCCATCCGAACCAAAATGGCCGGAGGTCTCATTGCCACCTTCGTTGTCGCGCCTCCACTCTCCGCCTCCAGGGGGGCATTCAAGAAGGCGCACCGCACATCCACGGTTCCTCCCTTCCACCTTCTCCTTGCTGCCTCCTTAATGGCTACACGGAGACCGATCACGTCCGTCCCCGAGGCGTAGAGGCACTGGCCTTCTTGATGACTCTCTCCGAAGTTGCCACACACCACGATCCGGCACTTCTTCTTCCCTCCAGGCTTTACCGTGCACACCACTTTGCCTGGCAGCACTTGCACCTCTCTGTCTACCTCAAGTAGCTCATGCGCTTCCTTTGCGCTCAACCTCGTCACCGCCTCCTTCTCCTCCGCCAATGCCATCATCTCTTTCAGCATTGGCTCTTTCCACTCCTCCTTTCTTTCTTCTACCTCCTTTAGCGACACAATCCGGGTTTGTAGTACTTGCCGCTGTTCTCCTCCAAGTTCCTCGTCTCCATCACTCCTCACCTTCTGATCCAGGGTTTCCAGCCCCTTCATCACCGCCCCAATCGCGTCCGGCTCCTCCCTCTCTACATTCTGCATCTCCTCCTTGATGATCTGCTGGATGTTCCTCACGCGAACCAGCTCTCCCGCATCCTCTCTTCCTGG